ATTGACAATAATTTGTCATTGTAAAATTTTTTTCTTACATTGAAGCATATTCTTTCTCATTGATGTTTCTTTAGACATTGTTTATGTTCCTATAATGTTATGTTGAATTTGGTTGAATCTATAAAGTTGTCTCATTAGTTTTATGGGACTAATGATTCGTTGGTGCTGGAAACATGTAATATGATAGAAATAGTTGAGTTTTCTATCCAAAAAGTTTGTTAGATTTTGTAAAAGGAAAATGCATGAATCTTTGATATTCTTTTAAGTGCAGTAGCTATAAGTTAATTTCATAATTGTGTTGACAGTTTTGTTTTTTAAATAAAGCAAAAGAAGGGGCATGTTAAGAGTAACAAATGGCCGTTCATAAATGTTGAATTCTTTTGACTCTTTAGGATCATCAGTATTAAAATGCAGTGATACCAACTGAAAAATAACATTTGAGGGATAAAGATAAAATTGTAAGAAAGTTTTCTCAGTCTCACAAATCTAATATATCATAATATAGAAAAGGTTATTTAACAATCAATTTTCCACTCGAAAACATTATTTAACAATGTTAATTATTTTAAGTTTTCGTTTTCCCGTGCGGCAACGCACGGGCTGACAGCCCTAGTAAATGATAATAAGAATGTAAAAAAAAAAGTAAATTTTTGTTCCAAAGAAATATGGAGTTTTTAGTTTGAATTAATGAAATAAGAACAAAGTAATATATAAATTTCGCCTATGCCATAACCATACAAGGGGAAATATAACAAACTTACTAGCTTAGGATAAAATGTCATTGTATTAAAACAATCGATAAAGATAAACATGCGCGTAGCGCGAGTTAAAGACCTACTTGTATTCGCAAAAGAAAGAAAAATATGTATTAGAAGTAGATAGACGACTATTTGTTAAGCATAATCAAATAGAGTCGTCCATGAGTACATATTCAAACTTCTAGATACATAATGCTCTCACTCATATCCATAAACTCCATGTCAAAATATCTGGTCTTGGCAGTTTTATTATACCATTTATCTGGTATCCCTTTTATCTCAACTTTTTTCAAATCATTGATATGCAGATCATAGCATAGAAAGTAAAAGGGATTAACCAACCTTTGCGGTACCAAGATAACCTTGCCTTCTAATGATGTACCTTTTGGTCTCAAGTTATTGTCAAGGATCAAATGCATCTGAGAAGGCTGCAAAGACAAAGTCTTCCTTGACCATTCCTTCTTCTTATGATCTTCCACAACCCATAGGTCTATCGTACCTGTCTCTTTAAGAGTGCTGAAATCAAAAACAGTTACTTTTCCATGATAGTTTATTTGGGTCACCCACTTGTCACGTCTATGTGCCACGTCTTCGGGCTTGCGAGGTACTTGGATCATATTGAACTCTTCAGTCGTGATGTTGAAACTCACAAGCACACAAGTATAAGAACCAGTCCAAGCCACATAATATAAAACTCCGTTCATTGTAAGTTCTAGTGCATTAGAAAGATGATGAGGAAAATCCTTTGCAACCCTTTTCCACGAACCACCAGCTTCTAGTAGGAAGACCCAAAGCTCTGACTTTACCTCTTGCGTATAGTCCGATGTGACAGCAATTGTACATAGTACTTTGTACTGATCCTTAACATGATCATGGCACAAAAAGTAGTTAATGTTATAGCGATCTTCAGCTATGCGTATGATATCAGATTCTTTCACGGCAGGTAAGATGACAAGTTGTCTGGTTGTGGGGTTATAGATATGCGCCTTAAAACCAACTCTGAAGCATGTGAAGCAGATGAAGCCACGGAGAAGGCGCAAAAAGTAACCTCCTATACGGCTGGTCAGATCTTGGTCGAATACTATAGTATTCGGAGACGGGCTTGGAGCGGATGTTAAGAGCACAGACTTAGAGTTGTAGTAGCGATTCACTAAAGACATGTAAAGACGAGGTTGAGGTTGAGATTGAGATGGGACCATGAGGAAGCGGTTGCAAAAATATCTAGAGGACAAGAGGGATGACCAAAACTTTGAGACACACTTGAATCTCATCACTGATGTCGGAGGTAACCTCGTGAGAATCTCGATCAGAAGATCCAGAGGAATGTACCGTGCGAGCCAAGTTAACTGCAGATCCTGCATCGCTCTTTGTGTAGTTTTGTTTCTTGTTCTCGACCTCCTCTTCATTCTCTTCTTTTGTTGAACAGCGGCAAGGAGAAAAGAAACTCTCATTGTGTCGCACAACAACAATCTCCAGTTTCACCACAGATCGGCACAAGATAACAAGGTTTTGCTTCTTTTTTTTTTTTTTTCAGATTTTGAGACAAGACAGAGATGCTCGCCTAAGACTCACGGACAAGAGAAGACAAGTAGCAAATTATTGTTTCCTAAACTCATAGGGAGAGAGAGAGAGAGGCAGAGAAGTAGCGACTTGATTTAGGGCTTTGTGTCAAGAGGAAAAAGAAAAACGATGTCGATTTGACGATTTTTCTCCCTTTTTCATTCTTTTCTTTGGCAACACGGCATCGTAAAATAATTGTATTGAGTGCTGCGTGGGTGTGATCCTAGTTTAATTAGTATAAACTAGGTTTAGACTCACACGAAGCTGCGGGATACTTTTAAAATTGTTTTTTATATATAAATATCAAAATATAATTTTTAGTTTTTTGAAATTAGAGTAATCATAAACTTGATTGTGATTTGGCTGACTTGAAATTAGAGTTAGTTTGCCATGTTTTGGCTGACTTGTCACTCACATGTATAAAGTTAACATTTTTTTTGTGTGGTAAATTTAGATTTATTATATAAATTTACTATAAGTCTGAATATAGTAGGCAAATTTATGTATAAGTATGTACATAGTAGGCATATTTATGTAAAAGTCTGCCAATTATTGGTGGACCTCATAAAATATATTTGTCAAACTTATAGATTTGTCTACAGATTTTCGTAGACTTCGGCAAAGTCTACAAAGTTTTGGTAGACTTTGGTAAAGTTTACAATTTTTTGGTAGACTTTGAAAATATATTTATCAGACTTATAAGTTAATTTGCGGATATTCATAGATTTCGGTAAAGTTTACTCATTTTTGGTAAACTTCAAAGATATTTTTTGAAGACTTATAGTTAGTTTACATAGATCCATAGATGATGGTTAAGTCTACAACTTTTTGGTATAACTTTACAAATATATTTGTTGTAACAAGATATTTTTTTTATCAACTTTAATTGAGACAACAAATCCATATACAATCGATGTACACTTACCAAACTCACCAAGGCATCCAACATCGGTAAAAAATTATCATGCCTTTTCGTCTTCTTTGTTCCAAGCTTTCCCCATTTCTTCTTCCCTCCTTTCTTCTTCCCCATTAAGATTTCGATTTTTTTTCGCTCGCCGTAGGTGAGTATATATAATCTCCCAAATGTAATACATTTAAATATCTTAAATAACTCATTCTTCCAATTAAATACGAGTTATCACAGTGGTTACCTTGGCCCTTCCTAGTAAAATGATTTGCATTATAGAAAAAATGTATAAAAATAAAAATAATAAATATAAATATTATAAAATGTATTCAACTTGATGCATCAGATTTACTATATATTATAAAATATATTATTTCGGAAAAAAGATGGCTGGCTACACCAACTATAGAGGAATGCATAGTCACACATGCCAATTATCATATTGTATACTCAACTACACGAACTAGATGTATTGCATGACCACATGCATCAACTATACAACGTCATGTAGTCAACACCATAGACATAAAATTCTGGTACACCGGTCAACTGACTCTGGCGTTGACCGATGTTGACTGCGGCGTTGACCGTTTTTGACCCAAAAAAATATTCCAAATTTTTTTATATTATTTTATTTTTATTGTTAAAAAAACTAAAAACTGTAATTATTTTATAATGAATTGTTATGGTTTTGTATACTTTTAAAAAATATAATCTTAGGAAAAAAATTGTAACAATAATTTTTGTATTTAAGTAAATCACATAATAAGTTAATGGTTTTGATTGACAATGTAAAAATAAGCAATTCCTACTAATTGATAAGATTTTCCAGTTTTAATTTAGATTCTAATATCTTGAGTTATTTTACTATTAGTTTAGCTCTAAATTTAGAATTAACTAATTATAATAAGAATGAATACATTAAAGATTTAAACAAAATTAGTATTTAGATATTGAATATATAAAAACAAAATCAATATTTTTTTAATTAAATTTTTTATGGTTTTGTATAATGAAAATATATAATCTTAGGAAGAAAATTGCTATGATGATTTTGTATTTAAAATAAATCAAATAATAAGTTAATATTTTTATTAACAATAAAATTAAAATTGCTATGATGATTTCGTCATTTTCTTCCTAAGATTATATTTTTAATAATATAATATCTTGAAATTGTTTATAGTTTTGTATAATTAAAAATTCAAAATTAATTACAGTTTTTAGTTTTTTTAACAATAAAAATAAAAATTATATAAAAAAAAGTTTGGAATTTTTTTTTGGTCAAAAACGGTCAACGCCGGAGTCAACACCGGTCAACGCCAGAATCAGTTGACCGGTGTATTAGAATTTTATGTCTATGGTGTTGACTACATGACGTTGTATAGTTGATGCATGTGGCCATGCAATACATCTAGTTCGTGTAGTTGAGTATACAATATGATATTTTGCATGTGTGACCATGCATTCCTCTATAGTTCGTGTAGCCAGCCATCTTTTTTCCTATTATTTCACATAAATTCATGATAAACAAAATTTTAATGTATTTTGTTCCAACCTTTTTGAAACATTTGAATGTCACATATTATTTATTTAAAATTTATCAGCAGTTCACGTAGTCAATATTGTAAATTAAGTCATGAAATCAATTACGTCAATACAAAAACTTATAATTAATGTATATATAAAAAAAATAGTTTCAATCAAAATTGTTATCATGATTTGTGTAGACAATACTCATCTCTGTTCTAATTGATTATCAAAGTTATTTTGGGAGATATTTGATGCGAATCCACATCAAGTAAAAGCTTACATGTTCAAACCCTAAAACTACTTATTTGTGACAGGAGTTTATGGCCATGGAAGAAATATTTGGGACATGGAGTTTATGGCAGATATAATTGAAACTTAGGATTGAGCGAGTAAATTTTTTTAAGCAATAACTTATAATTGAAATTTGATAATCAATTATGGCTATAATCAATTTTTAGTTATCTATGGCTATAAGTTTAACTCACCCTATACGAATAAATCTTATAATTTTTTTTTTTTTTAGTGGACATTGTTTTAAAATATACATTAAGTAATAAATTATAACTGAAATTTATTAAGTAATAAATTATAATTAAAATTTATTAAGTAATAAATTAAAATTAAAATTTATAATTAATTATAATAAATTATAATTAAAATTTATTACTTAATAAATTATAATTGAAAATTTTATATTTAAACGAATAAATCTGATAAAATTTTGTTTTTTTAGTGGACATTGTTTTAAAATTTATTGTACATCTCAAAATGATTATTGTACATCTCAAAATGATTATTGTCTGGCAATTTGGTGGTTATAACTGGCATAGAGATTAACATCAATATCAGATAGAGCTTATAATATATTATGCTTTACATTTGGCTTCCATTGGTTTGGAAGACTATTGAGAAAACTACTTATTTGTGATGGAATTAAGTACTTATTTCACATTCATTTATCTATTTAGGGTGTGAGAAGGAAAAAAATGGATGAAAAATATATTTATCTTAAAATTCACCATTTAAGTTGAAAATGTAAAATCTGGTATTTATCTCTGTTTTAATGAGATAAACAAATAAGAGAAAAAATAAAACATGTTTTCATCCAGAGATAGAACTAAGATGAAAGCTATTCATCTCTAATTTTTCCACCAATTTGTTTTCATCTGATTCATTTGCAGGGTAACCATTTACACCCTTAGATGATTAAGTACTAAATTTACAAAAGAGTAATATTAGAATGGTGAACAAACTGGGGAGCCAAACACCAAACTTCTATTTGATTAAAAAAAGAAGATTCTGAAACAAGATACAAATTTGGTTGGTACAGGCAAAAATCTTATATAATAATACTCTAGAGCTACAGATACTGGGAGATGTTTGTCTCAATAAAGGCTGAATCCAAAGAACTGGCTGACAATAATTGCCAATCCAAGTCCAATGGCCACAAGAGAAGATGCCCACGTTAGTTTCTCTGTGATCCTAGGAACCTTGTCTTTCAATGCTTCGCTGCATGACCCGATAAACACTGTGTAGCTCCCCATCGCAATCACCGTCCCAATCAAGAACATGATGAGAAATGATGCGCCGGCTAACCGAGAAGGAAGAGCCAGTGCAGGCAATACCATCATCAGAGCATCCGGCTGCAGTCCGTGAACGATCCCAGTAGCAAATGTCGCAAACCCTATCTTTTTCTTCTTCGAGCTTTTCTCATCTGTTTCCCCATTCTCCAAGGTAACAACACATGGTTCCGGGATCTCAGAAGCTTCTTTGATTCCCATAGCACCAATCACGAGGAGGGTCAAGCCGACGACTCTTGTACCCCAAGTTCTTATGACTTCAATGTGAAGCCTATCTTTTAGAAGCAGAAATATTAAACCAAAGATGAGTTGACCAGCGTCGTGACCACATCCCCAGAGGGCTCCAACTGCTGCACTCTCCATTCTCGTCCGTCCAATCGAAAGTGGAGCCAAAGCAGCAAGGTGATCAGGTCCAGACAAAGTGTGCAAGCAACCAGCAAAGAAACCAGTCCAAGCACTTGTCAATACTTCAGTCCTGAGGAGTTTACCACCAACAGCACTACCAGTAGATTTAGTAGCAGTTTGAAAGCTAGCAAAAGCAGGCGGCACAAGAACAGGGTTAAGCAAAAGCGCAGCTACAGCAGCAATTAGTATGACTGTTCCAACGGATATAGTCTGCAACAAAAACACAGATTTTCATAATAGAGCATTAAACAATCTGAAGGTAAGTACACAAAGAAAAGCCCTTGACCATAACATTTCACAAAGGGTTTAAGCACATTGCTCTCAACATATAGTCGCAGAACCAAAAAGCCTATTGTAGTAAATTGAATAAACTAATTAACAAATCCATTGATCCTAGCATTATCAATAAGCCGAGAGTAATGTCTATGGAATCAGAGATCTCTGATCAAGGAGATACACAAAAATATTCAAATTTCACAGCAATGCAGCTATACAACTGCAGACAATTAGATCAGAATCCAAACAAATCAAAAGAATCAAAGTTTGCTTGATCACGAAACCCTAAAACTACTAGTCCTCAAAATCCAATAGCTCTTCTCAAACATCTTCTGAAATCAAACCCCAAAACTAAACCAAAGACACACAAAGCAATTGAAGAAGATTCATAGTCATGGATATGTAGTTTACCCTGCGCTGCTTAAAACTCCTCACGATCCGTTCGATAAACCCTGGATTAGGTTTCGACTCATCGGATTTAGGAGACGGAAACAAGAAATCTCTACTCTGATTCATTCCGGAAGACGTACCCGGCGATGGATTCTGGCGGAAGAAGCAGGAAACGGAGCTGACTCGGCGTGACTCGGGACGGCGCGAGGAGGCAAAGGTGAGACTCGGCGAATAAAGTCTGTGGACACGGGGGAGTAACGGAGATGCACTTGATTGAGAGTTGGAGAGAGTAACGGAGGAAGAAGACGGTGGTTGTAGAAGTTTATCCATGGCGTCTCCTTCTCTTTCGGGAGAGGCTAAAGAGTTAAAAGTTTCACAGAAGTTGGAAAAAAAAAGGAGAGTGAGGGAGACTGTGCTCTCTCTCAATCGGTGAAGATAAAGTTTCAAAAAAATATTTTTTGTTTTCGTCGTTTTCTTGTAAATCAATAATAATAAAAAATGAATAACCTAAATAAAATCTTATATATAAGATGTAAAATATTAATACAATATTGTTTTCTTTTTAACACTTTTAGAGTCCGAATTGTGGTAACGTATTTGATTATGCAAGAGAAACGGTTTAAATAATACGAAGTACGGTTTAATAGTATTATTAGAAAAAATAATTTTACTAAACAAATATGGTTAATGATGTTTTTGGGCCACTAAATAAATATTACTTATGTTTTTAAAAGCATTTTTTCAAAAAAAAATCTAACAAAAGAAATTACTTAGATTGAATAGTAACATATGTGCGTTATTGTAATAATTTACTTTCGAAGTTTCTGTAGTGATCTAATATTAATAAATTTGTTTAAATGTTCAAAAAAATATGCGTTATTGTAGTGTAGGATAAAAACCGCCATACTTTTATGATTACCATTCATAGTTTTAGTAAAATATTATTATAAAAATTAGGTAATAGTATTATAAGTGTGACTTTATTAAAAAAGAATTGTTAATTAAATATTAAGAAAAATACTTCATAATGATTTTTTCTGTAAATCAAGATTAATTTATATTCAACAAACAGAAAAAAAATTATATCGATATTTTAAGATCATTTTCCATGTTTGGTACTGGTTATATTCCCATCTCTCTCTCCAAAGTTTTCGTCTTTCTTCCTCTCACGTCTCAGATTAAACACAGATTTTTTTTTTTTGATTTTTTCAATTTCAGTCCAATTTCACTTTCCACTTTCGAATTTATTCATACATATCAATCTAGCGAATTTTTTGAATTTCGTCTTTGTTCAAGAAAACTCCAATTGCTCCGACCACCCTTGTAGGGTTGTATGTAAGTCTTTCGATATCTTCAAATTTCATATATTAACGAACAAGACATTTCTCATAGATCGGTATCTAACCATTGACCGGTATCAATTTTGTTCTCAATTTCAAAAATCTTGGCTTTTTTTTTTCATATTGTTTGGTCATTAGTTTCAAATGGGTTAATCATGTCAGTGATCATTAGCTTCAAGCAAGTGAGATAGTGATACATGTTCTATATTGAACAATCTTGTTATGTGGTTTTATAAGTTTAAGCTAAGATTGAAAGGCTTTAGCTTTGCAAATTATTGAAATTAGGATCATTTATGTATTTATATACATAGTTCTATGTTGAAGAATTATAAGCTAAGATTGAGAGTTAATAGAATATGTTTTGCTTTTCTTGCTCACAGATTGTTTTCTTCAAGAATTACCAAAACCTGTGTTACAGTCAGAGGCATGTTGGGTGACAATGAAGGTAGTAAGCCTTCAACATGTTCTTATTTGTCAATACTTGTATCCAGCTTTTGTCCCCTGATTCTTGTTAGTCATTAGTGTCAGGTCAAGTCATTGTGATTATGGGCGTAAGCGGAGCAGGGAAATCGTAAGTCATGGTTTCTATTCCTCTTTTGATTTGTATACTAGAGTGAGGAGTTTGAAAGAAAGATATTGATGTTTATTGTTTTACTTTGTTAGTACCATAGGTAAGATGTTGGGAACAGCTCTATCTTGTGACTTTCTTGATGCCGATGATTTTCACTCTTTATCGAACAGAGGTATAAAGAATCAAATATACTTTGTTGATGGGAAAAATCCATGTTTTGAAACACTCATTGCTGCTCATTGTTCTTACTAGATAAGATGAGCCAAGGGATTGCTCTTACAGACGAAGACCGAATGCCGTGGCTTGAAAAAATACAGGACAGTTTGCGAAAACGCTTACTCAACAGAGAAACCGTTGTCCTCGCATGTTCTTCATTGAGAAAACAGTATAGAGAGATCTTGAGAGGTTCTGATCCGGATTACAAACCGGGAAGCTATACGAGTTGCAAGGTTAAGTTTGTATTATTGGAAGGTAATGCAGAGGTGATCGCCGCTCGGTTACAGAAGAGAGCTTCCGAGGGAGAACATTTCATGCCTCTTACTCTTCTTCAGTCTCAGTTTGATCTGCTGCAAGCTGATGAATGTGAAAAGATATTCAAAATCAGTGTGGTTTTGAGCCCTGAAGTTATAGTCAACACAATTCTTGACATGGTTACAGATTCTTTGTACCCTTGAGAGAAGATATACCAAATTCTCAGGAGTCAGTACATTGTAAACTTGTATTGTTAAGTTACTCTAATAATCTTTATTCCTCTTTTGTATTCAAACAACCAACATAGTCGATAAGCAAAACTTACTATCATAATAAAAATGGAATTTTCAAAATGCAGAATGTTTCATTTCATCTTCTCCATTTTGTTATCTTCTATAATTTGTTCACATATGAGTAAAGCAGTCATAGTAATTTTTATTCAAACAATTAAAAAAAAAAAATATTGCAAGATGTATGGGAAGAGTGGGCTTTGACACGCCCATAAACTCTCACAACAAGAAGCATCCACTAAGAAGAATGCATGCTATTTTTGCAGCATCAAAACGGCAAAGCGTTCGTATTCACAAAAGCAAAACGACATTACAACTCACTCTGCAATCCTTTTCACCGCCGAGATTTTTGTAGCCCTTGCTCCTCTCTGCATATTTTTGGCGGGAAAATCGACCAGAAAAACCCTCGAGAATAGAGCTCAGCGAGAGAGAGAAAGAGAGAGAGAAGTAGATTGAGAGGCGAGAGAGAGATAATGGCGGATAAAGGTAAGGAGGAGACGGGAGTGGATCAAGTCGAGGAAGATTTCTCTGTTTGGAAGAAGAACACACCATTTCTCTACGATCTTTTGATCTCTCACCCACTCGAATGGCCATCTCTCACCGTCCATTGGATTCCATTGACGCCGAGTCCTTACGCGGCGGACCCTAACTTCGGCGTCCACAAGCTTATTCTGGGAACTCATACTTCCGGTGGTGCTCAAGATTTTCTCATGGTCGCCGACGTCGTTATCCCGACACCAAACGGTGAACCTGGGCTGGGTGGTGCTAATCAGGATCCCGTAATTCCTAAGGTATCAAAAACCCTGGAGATCCATTCTTTTTTCGTTTTTTGGTGTTCTTCTTAGCTCGTGTTTTATGCCTACCAAGTGTTCGATAAAAGTACTAGCTGAAAGTGTTAGAAATGAAATTGATAAGACTAATGAGTATGTGGTGTAGGACAAAGAATATTTCTTGTATACGCATGATTCTTAAATTTTCTGATTTGTTTCAGGTGGAGATTAGGCAGAAAATACGTGTTGATGGAGAAGTGAACCGAGCGCGGTGCATGCCTCAAAAGCCTACGCTTGTGGGTGCAAAGACAAGTGGGTGTGAGGTGTTGCTGTTTGATTACGCCAAACATGCTGCAAATCCTCAAACGAGTGAGTGTGATCCTGATCTGAGGTTACTGGGACATGACAAGGAAGGGTATGGGTTGTCTTGGAGTCCTTTCAAGGAGGGTTATCTTCTGAGTGGTTCACAGGATAAGAAAATCTGTCTTTGGGATGTTTCAGCTGCACCACAAGATAAGGTTTTGAATGCAATGTTTGTGTATGAGGTAAGTGCAACAATACAGTATTGTCTTTTTTTTTTCCAGAAGATGAAGTTTGCTGCATCTTTACTCCATCGGTTTTGTTCTAGGGACATGAAAGTGCTATTGCAGATGTATCATGGCACATGAAGAACGAGAACCTTTTTGGGTCTGCGGGTGAGGATGGTCGATTGATAATATGGGACACACGAACAAACCAAATGCAACACCAAGTGAAAGTTCATGAGAAGGAGGTAGAGACCATTCCCCAATCTGCACATATCACACAATATTAAATGAAATGAGATGTTTCATATCGCGAGCCTGCATGTCATGTATCTATGGGTAACCGGGAGTCATGGACTTAAAGCTACACATTCTGTATGACCATACTTTCTTGTGTTATTCAGGTGAACTATCTTTCTTTCAATACATTCAACGAATGGATACTAGCCACCGCTTCCTCAGACTCTACTGTTGCCTTGTTTGATCTTCGTAAGCTGAATGCACCATTGCACGTCTTGAGCAGCCATGAGTATGTTCTTTTCCATTTTCTCATGTCCTCTGAGCCATCGATAAATAATGATACCTTTGCACTAAGTAAATAATGATACCTTTGCACTGAGTAACTGTAAAAGGATGTTTGCTAGAAAATCCACCATTTTAATGATAAGATTTTGATTACAGGGGAGAGGTTTTCCAAGTGGAGTGGGATCCTAACCATGAAACAGTACTTGCATCTTCTGGGGAAGACAGAAGGCTGATGGTCTGGGACCTGAACAGGTATGTATCATCATATCCTTTCCAGAACTTAAAAATGAGGTTTTAATCTGAGAGATTGTTCAGTGTTAAGTAAGGTTTCTTTTTCGGGTTTAAAGGGTTGGAGAAGAGCAGCTTGAGATAGAGTTGGATGCAGAAGATGGTCCACCAGAGTTACTCTTCTCTCACGGAGGCCACAAGGCTAAGATATCAGACTTTGCTTGGAGTGAAAAGGAGCCTTGGGTCCTTGCAAGTGTAGCCGAAGACAACAGTCTTCAGGTCTGGCAGATGGCAGAAAGCATCTATCGCGACGAAGAGGATGCTGAGGCCAATGAGGACATCAAAGAAGATATTTTACATACCAGTCATGAAAACTAAGAAACAATTTGGTCTCTCCAGTACTTAAGTCATATTGTGCTTTAGCTAGTTTCCAAAAGACAAGCTTTGCGTCTGTAGTACTAACATGACTCAGGCTCTGTTATTTAAATGTAACCATGTTTGGATTTAGTTGGTTTCCTATATTATTCCTGTCACAAAATCAGATTGTGTGACTAAAATTTGACTCTACATTTAACTGAACCTATACAAGATTTGTTGAATAAGCAATCTTGGGATTGCATCTCTTAGTCTGCAGTATAATCCAGTTAAAGTTGAATATTAGGTAGTCAAAAACTGGTTGTGCAACATATTCTTCAGACATGATTATTTATCAGCATACCAAGAGGATGCTTAAGGAAGTTGAGTTACTGTGTTACTACAGAACCTGGTTAGAATAAGCAACAAGATACAAAAATCATTCCTTTCTTGCTCTTTTACGTATAGCACCGTTCAGAGATCCAACTCTATGGATCATCAAGGAAAATCCCATAAAAGCTGCAATTTCAATAATTAACAAGTCTTATTTCTAGCTTCAACGAGCTCAACAAAGAAATTGAATTACATAAGGAAAAACAAAGAGATTAATAAAAATGATAAAAGCACAAAATGTGCTTCAAGGAAGGTGGTGACGCAGTTGAACTCTACTACCTATTGGAAGAAAATTAACTACCAATATGAAAATGATTGATAGTATCCCATGATCGACAATACTTCAAACTGCTTTCGCTGCACGATGTCCACCTGTTGCAAGAGCAAAAGCCATTAGTTCCTGAACTAAATACAAGCAAACCACAAGTTCAAACAAAATGTTGAAGGAGCCTCATACTAGACAAAAGTCAAGAAAAAGTAAAGAGAACAATATAGACTGGTGTCTAAGGCAAGAATCAACCAATATCAGGATAAGAAAACAATTGAAAATATGGAGTTAACTAAGAAGAAAACTGTATAATGATATAGCTGTAAGCCTGTAATAGAGAACCTCTAGGAAAGAGATGCAAAGGAACTAGAATTTCACCTTTTCTCTTATTAGTGCTGGACCCATTGACAGTGAATGTTCCAACTCCATTACTACAGAGAGGGATCTCCTTGCCAGCTAAATTCTGATTAGCCAAGCATTCTAGCTGATCAAACTCACACCCATTCAGCCCTTGCTCATTCATCAACGTACCTTCTCCATTGTTCCCATTTTGAAGACAGTACATGTTGTCAACATCGCACTGCATATTGCAAGGATGCATCATGTATGAGTAAGGCACGTTTGCAGCCGCAGGTTTTTGATAAGGAAACGAACCAATCTCTCCGTCAATTCTTCCTCTTATATCCACAAGCAAACACTTGAGCCTTGTAACCTCAGCTTCCAATGCAGCTTGACCTTGCAATCTCTTCATCAGCTGATTATTAACCGCCCTAAGCCTCATAACCTCATCCTCCAACGAAGCTGCTTTAGCCTTCTTCTTCTCCCTATACTTTCTAACCGCTTCTCTATTCCCCAAAGGTCTCTTTTTGCTCTTCTTCCCTGAAGATTCAGATGTATCATCAGTAGAAACTTTGTCTTCACTCTGAGCAGGTAGAATCTTGGTGTGCACATGGAGACAAGTATGAGTATGTGTGTTCTCTGGTCCCGAAGGATTACAAGTGTGAGTATGAGTACAAGCATGAGAATCCCTCAAAAGCTCATCGAAGAACGAGTCCATAGAACAGCTTGTAAGTGGTAATTCACCACCCATGTTCGAATTCGAAAACTCAAGCTCACCATCGTCCATTACTTCAACAACCCAGTAGCAAAGATGTAACCTTTTGAATCTTTTGATTGAATCTTAACCAAAAAGTATGAGACTTTGTGCTCCAAACCAAACAACACGACCAATTTCGAGTTTCCTGATCAAGTAAATACCTAATTTGAGAGGGGCATAGACAATTCACGCGATTCAGAAGAAATCAAAATCTAATCATTGGCTGATAAATGAATGCAAAAATCGTACCTTTAAAGGATTTAGTTCACGAGAATCGCCATTATGAATCCGAATTTGGAATTGAGAAATTAATAGACGAAACGGCGAGAAGGGTTTATAGAGAGAATTAGAGAAAAGAGGGAAACCAAAACCTAGAAACGAAAGAGGTTGCAAAGAAGAGTATTATTAAACAGATGGCATTATTTCCATGGCGGAAAGACATGGACGTACCAAAAGGGATTTTCCGAATTGCAGTCAGAAGATTGGTTGTTTTTTTATACTAATTTCGTGTTGAAAAAACTTTAATTTGAATATTTGCTCAAAAAAAAATAAACTTTGATTTGATTAGTTGAATTTATAATATTTTTTAATTTTAACTGGAATAAAAAAAAAATTTATTTCTGCCAGGCTATTTGTATTTTATAATTATTCTAATTGGATTTTTAAATAGATATAAAATCAGGCAAACAAAATTTTAGGGATATGTTTCTTTAAAAATATTCAGTGTCAGCACTATAAATAAGGATAAAGTGCGAGATTATCACGTGAATACTGGTTAAGTACTGAAATGGAGGGGGTAGTTTCAAAACGAAAAAAGGCAAGTTTGTCCTTTGGTTAGAGTTACAGGAAAAACATAATTATCAAACATGCCATTAAAAAGAAATGCCACGTTGGAGAGAGAAGGCGTTTATCTGCGTGAGTTTTGGGGAGAAAAACTCCCGCCAAGTGATAAGTCTACGAGGTAGTTATGGTAGAGTTTAACTTAATTCTTAGACTTGTGGGGGAGAGTGAAACACATTTGGTATAGTTGTATCGTAGAGTCATATATAGTGGTGGGAGAGTAAATATATAGATAGACTTATTCGTTACACTAAGCATACATGGTGGGAGAGTTATAGTTAAGCTACAGAGTAAGGTGAAACTTAGAGTTGGTCCATAGAGTAACTGTAATGGTGGTAGATTTTGGAGGAAACTTTCTTAGAGTTATGGACTCTGGTAGAGTAGTTATGTAGAGTTAGTCGAAGACTGGGAGAGTTAAGTTGTAAATATAGATATTAGATAGAGTTTATGACAGTTACGGTAGACATTTGCTGTCCAAAAGAGGTTTTGTGAGGGCAATCCTTTGACGGGAGAGTTGTTGTAGTGATGGGAGAGTAAGCAAAACGTAATAGAGTTAGCTGCCAGTTACGACAGACTTACGATGACCAGACTAGCATAATTTTGTTAGAGATATAGTAATAAGATAGAGTTAGCTGTTTGAATTAACTCTTTCAGGTACAACTCTATGTCCACGTTAGTTGATTAACTTGGCAGAGATAAGTTTTGTTAGGGTTTTATAAGGGCGAACGTGTACCTAAAAAACCCTAATTACCCTTACGTTTAGATGCAATTACGGATAGCAAACTCTTACTTCTTCGTTCTTGGGCAGCCATAGACTCTTCACGATAGAAGAAAAAATTAAAGTTTCAGCAACCAATTCTTCAAGATTAATGGAGGATATACCTTTGGTTTGTGGGAAGTGGAAATTTTGGCAAAAAAGATGGGTATTCATGGTTGATGATAAAAAAGGTAGCAGGATGATATCTGCAACAAGGAAAGTGTCGTATGAGGAGTATATTCGAATGGTATACGAAGATTTCGGCGTCGATAGAAGCTTATATGAGGTCCACCTATCTTACAAATTATCCACCAAGAAGAGGTCTGTATCATTACCTGAGGATACGCCCCCTGTATTTGTTTGTAATGGACGACAATTTCAAGGATTTCTTAGGCAGTTTAAAAGCGAATCTGTAAGACGTATGTGTGTGCAAATCGAAGATATAGTGCCGACTATTCCATCAAATTCAGGTCAGGAAACTGAACCGGAAGTGAAAGCAAGAGTGAGGAAAGATGGTGATAATTTGAAGAGGAAGGCAGCTGAAAAAGGGCCTATTACAGAAGAGGATGTTCAAGAAGATGATGATGATGATGAAGGAGATGAAGAACATGATGGAAGGTTCGATTGTTGTGAGGATCCGGATGGAGCAAGTTCAGGTGATGAAGAGTTTGGTAGGCCTTGTAAGTTTGTATTAAAGGAATTAGAGGATGATCACGATGAGGTTAATGTTGGAAGGAGAGAAGAAACCAACGGATTTGAGTCTCCGAAGAGTAATATGAAGATGTCAAATGTGTTGCAACAATTAGATATGCGTGAATTTCAGTTAGCTGTTGGGCAAACATTTGATTCTAAAGAGGCTTTAGAGAGTACATTGAAGATGATAAGTGTGTTTCAAAAGTTTGACTTCATTGTGGATCGGTCAAGGCCTCATTTGTATGTCGTTAAATGTTGGATTCCTGGATGTAAATGGAGAATGCGTGCAACAAGGAAAGGTGAATCCGGGATATTTCAAATTCGCATCTATGCAAGGATTCACACTTTTTCTTCTACTGAACGTTCTGCACGACATCGTAAAGCAACACCAACAATATTGGCTGAACTTTACAAGGATTACGTTGGAAGTGTAGGAACGGGTGTTGTGCCAAATCATGTGGGAGAGGCTCTTAATCTACGTTATGGCATCAAGGTTAGATCTTCTAATCAATATACTTGACTGCAATTTGGAAAATGGTTACAAAATATATAACTTACACCAATTATAACCAATGTAGGTTGATTATTGGAAAAGCCGTCGTACTCTTAGGTGTGCCCGTGAGTTAGTTAGGGGAAGTTTTGAAGATGGATATAGAGAACTACCCTTATATTTATACATGATCCGCAGAGCTAATCCCGGAATTCTAACAAGGTTAGAAGTCGATGAGTTTGATAGGTTCAAGTCCGTATTCATTGCTTTTGGTGCTAGCATAGATGGATTCCCGTTTATGAGGAAAGTTATAGTTGTTGATGGTACTTTTTTGAAGGGAAAGTATCTTGGAACCTTGTTATTAGCGACTACACAAGATGGAAATTATAACATTTTTCCCTTAGCTTTTGCTGTTGTTGATAGTGAGAACGATGAGTCTTGGGAATGGTTTTTTAGACAACTTAGTTGTGTTATTCCTGATGATGAAGGACTTGCCCTAATCTCTGATAGGCATAAATCTATCGGTAAAGCCATAGCAAAAGTTTATCCCCAAGCCAGCCGTGGAATTTGCACATACCATCTTCACAAAAATATTTTGCTTAAATTCAGAGGAAGTGAAACATTTGGTTTGGTCAAGCAAGCGGCTACTGCCTATCGGCTTCAGGATTTTAATGAAAAGTTCCAACTTATCCAACACTTGAATCCTCAACTTCATAGGTATTTAGTGCGTGCCGATGTAAGTAAGTGGAGTCGTGTTCATTTTCCAGGTGATAGATATAACTTCACAACAAGCAACATAGCAGAGTCAATCAATAAAGTTTTAAAGCCTGCTAGACACTATCCGATTGTTCAATTACTAGATGAGATAAGGTTGATGTTGACAAGGTGGTTTGCAGCTAGGAGGAGACAAGCTTCTAAAATGGAAACTGAGCTTACAACCGGTGTTGAGAAGCTCCTTGAGGTAATATTTCTTAAATTAATCTCAAGTATTCATTAAATAAGGTATTTTACACTACTAATGTTATGTATTGTATTTATAGGCTCGCGTTGCAAGAGCAAGTAATTTACATGTCCAAGAGATTGATCCCCATCAATACGAAGTTCGGAGTGGAACGTCTATGAATGTTGTAAACCTATCACAGAAAAAGTGTACATGTCGTATGTTCGACATCGACAAACTTCCATGCATTCATGCGATAGCAGCAGCAGAATTGGCGAAGGTGTCTAGGATTTCAAAGTGTCATCCATACTATAGGAGCGAATACCTACGACATGGGTATTCAAAATCAATTATGCCAAAGGATGAGTCCATACCTGTACCAAATGCGCTTCATTCAAAAAAATGCAGCCCCCCGGTTGTACGAACTCAGTCAGGCCGGCCAAAGCATAGTAGAGTCAAAGGTGTGATGGAGGTGGTAATGGAAAGTAAGAGACCAAGAAAAGCGAACGTTTGTTCACAATGTGGTGAGGTGGGACACAATCGACAAACATGTATTAAGTAATTTGTAGTAGTTTCCTTCTGTTGTATGCCGTGTTTTTTGGTCATTAAATTGTCTTGGCCATCTAGTACCAGTACTTTTACTTCATTGCAGATGTTTTCCTTTAAGTCTAAAGAGTTCTGTGTAAGTCTACTAAAAACATATAAGTCTATCGTGTTTTATAAATTATTTTGTAAGTCTATCCGAGTTAATATCCTACCGGAACTCTACGGAAGTCCATTAAGTCTATATGCATAAGTCTGTCTTCCATTGAAGTTGGCTTTATTGGTAATATTAAACCACCTAACCACCACACCAACTTCTTCACCAACCTTAACAATTACTTAAAAAGAACCAACCACACACAAGTGCTTCATTTATTGTCATCACTGAAAGTGGGATACTAGGTTAACAAATCCATATGATTATAAAACAAAACGATTCCATTTCTCCTCACCCGGCCACCATCAAACAACCTCTCTCCATTTTAACTTAAAACTACAAATGACCTACATTCCCATTCCTTTGGTGACAGAGATAATCAGACGTGTAGGAAAGAAGGGTTTTCGATACCTTGGGCCTTTCATTGCGGCGGGAGGTGCTTACACCGAGCTTGTGAACACCGAGCTCGTCTTGAAGGACGTTGATTTGCAAGAGTTTTTCTACAATGGTGAACTAGCTAGCCTCACTTCCATCTATAGGCCATTCTTGGTAAGGTGTCTTGCCCATGACAATCCTACGGCCAAATATGTAGAATCGATACGCCTCCTTACCGCTTTTGGTCCTAGTCAAGCACGGTTGGATCTACTTGGTGAAGCTGCACCATATAGCCTAGAAGCTTGGTACGCATATGGCCTATTTCTCATATGTTGTGGAGCTTATGAAGATGGTGTTATTGTCCTCCAAGCTTTTGTCAACAACGTCTCACACTTTAATGAGGCTCTAACAATTGCTGACCGACTTGAGGTATTGGTTCGTGGTATGCATATCACTGGATATCGCCTTTTTAAAGGCTTTTACCATTTCGATACCATCCCTATATGTGAGTTAAACCACGACACAACAGCTCCCACATGCAAAGATTGCTTCTCATGGGAGTATTCGTTGAGAATGGTTCGAATGTGTTGAAAGGTATGGTAACTCTATGCTCATACTCTATGCTGCGAATGTTTAATATTTGAAGTCCCTATGTTATATTGTATTATCTAATCAAATGTATGGGAGTAATGAATGATCCCAATGTCTAATATAACTCTAAGCTAATCTATGGGCTAACTATATGATCCCAATGTGTAATATAACTCTAAGATAATCTATGGGAGTAATGAATCATCCCAATGTTTATTATTATGTTTACTTTTGTAAGTTTATGTCTCTTACTATAAAGTTTCGCAATCTGTAATATTATAAGTTAAGTTTCATGTGTAATGTAAGATTCAGAGTATGTTATTAGTTGTCCATAAAATTTCTTATAGTAAATAAACAATACTTACCGAAGTCAATGATTACATTAGTAGCCAAAACGGAAAGGTAACTCAATTACCCCATTTGGTAATTGAGTTAGTCATAAGACAAACACATCCCGACGGTTTCGTAGACTTACATATAACAGTTAATCGGTAGAGTTACAATCAAATTACGTAACTAACAACTCTACAACGATGACATGACCTGGTAGACTTAAGAAGGCTGCATGTTCCATATAACCAGATTATGAACATGCGACGTTCTTTAGTGCACAAAAAATTACTTTGCCCCAAAATATTACGGTTGGGACATGAACTCAACACCACCTGTCTCTGACCCACGAGGGTTCGGATCCGAAAGCTGAATGAAGCAATCTAAATCTGGTACCTCAGCCAATATCTCTGCTGCCAGCTTCAGACGCATTGCTGGTACTGCTTCATCACATAACCCTTCAAAATTTAGACCAATTGCCAAGCACTCAAAGTATTTAATAGTGAAAATCCCACAATCTCCTTGTTGATAGTTCTGTGGAGTTCGCTTGACTCTGTAAATTGTGAAAGCTTTTGTAGTGAGGTCTTTCTTATCTTCTGGTTCCGCAATTATCTTGATCAACGCAGGAATCATGCAGGTGTATGGTTTGCATGACTCATATACTTCTTCATTCGTGTAGAGGCTGGTAATGCTATCCCACACTTTCACCCTTCTCTTTTTCAGGTTAACTTCAAGAGCCACCCAATGATTATTCTTGATGTTGTGTGCAAGATAGAGAATGTCAACTTCTTCCACCCATTTCTTCAATGTCTGTCCATAGGTGGGCTGCAGACCATTGTAAACCTTGAAATAGATTGTAGGGAACATGTAGTTTTTCTCCGTATCAAACTTCTTGTAATCATGACCCCATTGGTTAACAAACCACGGGTCTAAGAATGCAATCCGATCACTTCTAAAGGGAGACACATACTGCATTGACCGTTTCCTAAGCATATGCATGGCTGCACACATATGCTGAGACAAGGAAAGGAAAAAGGTCTGTTAGAGTAGAGTTGTATAAAAGTGCAAACTTGTAATAGAGTAGAGTTTCATACCGCATCCTTCAACCAACCAAATGTTGTTTCTTTCTTAGGCCACAAAGCTTTAGGAGTCAAAATCCTTAGGTAGAAACTTGAAGAGGAGCTTGATTCATCACAAAAACACTCCCTAAAAGGCAGAAAACAAGGTGAGATTAGTGAGAGTTAAGTACCATCAAAGATGAATTTTTTAGTCATATGAAAAAATATTCAATCTTCACTTACAAATCTTTGTCGACAAACTGCATGAGTTTGTCAACCAATCCAGTCGTGACCTTCTCAAATGGATCGTAATGGGCTGGTGACAGCTTTTTCCCCTTAAGTATACGCTTCACCACTGAACTGCCAACGTAAGGATGCAATTGGGTAGCCGCAAGTGTTTTACACCGGCCTTTTCGTACAACTTCTACATCTCCTTCAGCCTTGCAGAACATATACAACTTTTCTAATGATAACCCAAGATTTTTCCTAGCCTCAAGCTCACATGGTACAGATATGTCAGAATCGGTTGATGCATCATCTAATTCAGTACATAAGTCTAGCACGGGTGATTTCCAGCTGCATTCATCATCGCCTTTGCCCGTCACCACAGATTTATACTCAGAATCTGGGACCGTTTGCTGTTGAGTTTCAGGGACTATGATTTCTGAACCAAAATCAATCCTCCTCTGGAGAGGTGGTGAACCATGTGACCTTCGAAGCTTTCCTGAGATGAAGGTGTCTTTTAAAGGAATAACGAAGTCAGACCTTTTCTTTTCAGTAGCAGATGAAGGATCCCTCTTCATCTTTGTTGAAACTCCACTTGATTCCTTCAAAGAGACTCTTGATTTCTTAGTAGGCATTCTGACCACACATGAGATTGGAAACTCATCTTGAGACGTTTGCTTCTGCTGTAAAGTCCAACACTAAAAGGAGGAGATTAAGATATGAATCGATAATCAGATAGACTTAAGTAAGAAATATAATAACATCTGAAATACTTCCATTACAGTAGCAAATACGAGATACATAAGTTTCCATGTCTTTGAAAATATTAAACAAACCCTTAGAAGAAAAAAAAGATAGAACCAGAAAATACAGTGACTTAATTAGCTTCACATGTTTTGGCCACCAACTAAGCTTATGTCTGCATACAAAAGAAGTATAATTTTACCTTAATTTTTACTCAATCGTTCCAATTCATAAAACATAATTAGAGAAGATTTCATACCTCTTCATTAGGCCCTGAACCACCAGCATCGTCAGTTTTAGATTCTTCATCATTTGCACCCGGCCCTATCTTCACACTAGTCCCATTCTTCACTTCCTTTCCCTTCTTACTTGCTGTAGTGTCATCAGGTTTCTTCAACTGTCCCACATCTCCCTCAAGAGCTGTGACTTTCTTCTCAATCTCCTTCACATGAGTCCCTAGCAAATTCAGTTGCACTCCAAAGTTTGAATTCATATAATCCATCTTGCCAGACATACTTAGGAGCAACTTCATGACGACCCCCATTGACACTTCTTCTTCTTCCTTCTTACTAGGTTCATTCTCCTCTCCACTATCATCACTAACATCCTTCAACTTGACAGGCCCTCTTGCTCTCTTGAAGCTAGTCTTAGGTTTTTTAGGTGGAGGGTCAAGTGTATCATCACTTTGCACTATCTCCTTCCTCTTCTCCTTCCTCTTCTCCTTCATCTTCTCCTTCATCTTCTCACCTACAACCTTCTCTTTACCTAGTTCCCATTGTGTTGAATCGACACGGCCAAGGAAGATGTCTGCGACCAAATTGTCAAGAAGCTTGATTCCAACTGATCCTTCCGGATACAAACCTTGTTCATCTGGCCAGAAAGGGTATATATCCTCTTCAGATCGCCAGCCCACATTAGTTACTGACAGCTACATAAAGGATAAGTCAGTCAGAACAAAAGTGTATGAGAACATAATAGATTGTATGGAATAACTCTGTCACAACATACTAGTAGACATAATAGGAAATAAAAACATTTGGGATGTGTACAAAGTTTGAGAAGTACCTTTTTGTTAATTCGTTTCTCTGTGGCAAAAAACTCCCCTATATCGATTCTTGGACGGCCTCCACTCCACTCCAACAATGGGACAACATCATCAGCATGAGCCTCATCTTCATCTGTCTTCTTTTTGTTTCCATACTTTTTCCCCAGCTTATGAAGACTCTCCAATGCCCATATCATAAGCACATGCACCAATCCGTGGATTGCATAACTGTCATTCTCATAGGATACCACTTTGATGGACTGAATGAGCTCTTTGAAACCAATTCTTCCCCAAGGGAATCTCTCAAAAACACCACTGTCCAGCACAGTTTTAGCATAGTCAAGTGGAATCCTACTTGACCTCGCGATTCCCAAAATCCCTACATGGACCACAAATAAGAGTCCAAGCATCTTTCTCTTCTCAGCAGACCAAGTCCTACAACTCTTCAAAGCTTTTTCCAAGTCGTACCAGTTCGGCCCTACAGCTCCTTCAACATCCAACTCAGCCCAAAAATCTCTGTGATCAGCCTCCACTATATCATCATCTACAAATGGAGCACAGTTGAGGCCGGTTATGTCTTCATATTCATGGAGGGAGAACCTAATGGGACTACCTTCAATCAAGGCCCAGATATCATACTTCCTCTCAATTGCCAACTGCCGAGTTAAGATGTAATGGATAAGCTTTCCCCACCAAACATAATCAGAATCCGCTAGCATCAATACAACTCCAACCTGTGAATGATCCCGGATGTCATTATACACATCTTCACCTATGCACTCTTTCATGAATCCAAAACTGGCCAGTGTGCAATTATGGTGCATGCTCTTTCTCAGGAGAGGAGATTTTCCTTCCGGATACAGCCTTGGAGGGTACCTCCTACCCTTCCCAACACTTGTAGATGCGTTTCCTGCAAATCCACAACAATTATAAGGTGAGAAACTCTTACAACTAATAACTTACACTTCTATATACACACTTATTTTGACCCGATTCTATTGCCATTTATGTAACCTAAATGATACTCTTAAATCAATGTCATTACCCTAGCAAACACATAAAACCAAATCTACAAACATTCTACTATTTTCACTAATGTTTTGCTATGCTAAAACTAACAAAACATTCACTTTTTTACTCTGCCAATCAACTCTTATTACTAACTCAGTCTATATTCTCTGTCACACACACACAACTCATTTCAATCGCACTTTAAGAGAACCGACTTCTATTAGCATCAAAAACAAACAAAGCAAATCAGTTTGACATCAAACTACTCAAACTTACACTTCTATATACACACTTATATTTACCCGATTCTATTGCCATTTATGCAACCTAAATGATACTCTTAAATCAATGTCATTACCCTAGCAAACACATAAAACCAAATCTACAAACATTCTACTATTTTCACTAATGTTTTGCTATGCTAAAACTAACAAAACATTCACTTCTTTACTCTGCCAATCAACTCTTATTACTAACTCAGTCTATATTCTCTGTCACACACTCACATGTTATTTCAATTGCACTTTAAGAGAACCGATTTCAATTTCAGTATAAAACCACCAAAGCAAATCAGTTTGACATCAAACTACTCAAACTTACACTTCTAAATACACAATTATGGTAATGACATTTATATAAATGTCATTACCATAGGAAACACATAAAACCATATCTACAACAATCATCTATTTTCACTTGTGTTTTCTATGCAAAAACTAACATTCCTTTGACATTTTAACTATGCCAACAAACTCTATTTTCTTACTCTGTCTGTACTCTGACTCACACACAAATGTCATTTTCATTACACTTTAACCGAACCGATTTCCAATTAAATGCCAAACCACTAAACCAAATCAAAATTTCCTTCAAACAACTATACCATAGACTTCTATATAATTTCCTTACTCTATCATATAAAACAACAACCCGCCAAATTCGAATATAATTTTCATTCACCACATTTCGTCTTATTAAAATAGATGATCAAAGTGTCATAACCCAGACAACCATATCTAAAACCCAGAAATTATACATACAATCTCCTAGTATGATATATATACTTACCTGACATTGTTAATACTCGGTTCTCTTCAATCAACACCGCTTTGTGCCCAGAAATCTACCCTCTCGTCGCCGTCCTTTCAAATCCTTCAAATAAACATTCACACTTTATTTCCATTACATATTCGACCATACTTACAGGAAATAAACTCTACAAAACAATCTAACCGAAACTTTAAACAAACCACAAACCTTCAACACTAGAGACGACTGAGAATACGAATAGTCGTCCGCCTCTAACCAACAGCCTTTCGTCTTCCCAAACAACCACGGTTATTAACCCGTGAAGGAAACCCCGCCTACGATTGCCAGCCGCCCAAGCCTCAACGCCGTCGTCGATTCAAAACCTACCACAAAACTACTTCCGTCACATTTCTATTACTCCTCTTATATCTAATACTCTTTGAAAGAACAACCAAACAAATCTACTACCTTCTTACCGGAAAGTACCCAGAAACGCCGCCGTACCCACCGGAGATTCACGCACAGGATCTCGCCGGAATCGCTACTGAATCGCCGATAAAGAGAGCGAAAAGTTGAAAAGGAAACCGACAGTAACAAATGTTATTAGGGTTAGATTTTTCTCTTTTACCTTTTTGTTTTCTTTGGTTAAAAATTAAATAAATGGCACAAATGTAATAAACATTAAAAACGGGTGGGTTTGGGACTTTTCGCATTTTTTTTGGGCTATTTTAGTCGATCCAATTTTGTATGGGCCAAAACAGTTCGGATCCACTATTTATGTGCTAGATAAGTCTATTTCTCTATAAATAATGATTTTTTGCATTACACAATGAGATGATTTCATATAAAAAATGTTTTATCGAATAATAAAATAATAAGAAAAAACGAGTGTGCGTGCACTCCATGTTACAAATAAACGTTATAATGAACTGACGATATAATTTCATTATTTATTAGTGCCAAATACTGAATATAAGAATTTTTTTTTTCGATAAAATCATTTCTATTAAAGTTCGAATGGTTACAAACGGTTCAAAACATACGAAACTATTGGTGGACTGAACTATTTTTTATTTACCATTCAATAATTATATACATCCCTATTGTAATCATTGGAACTCTCTACTCTCTTAGAAATTTATCTTTTAACATGGGATGATGTGAACTAGTGATCATGAAAGAATCAAAATAGCCGTAAGATTTGATTCGAGCTTCTTGATTTGTGTTTACTGGTTAATGGAAAATTATCTCATACATTGGATAGTTTTTTCCATCGATTCCATATGCTCTATATGTTTGTTCTCTAGTGTGCATACCACTTGTTCTTTAGTTGTTCTTGGAGTTAAGTTAATCAAAGCTACGACACGTTTGCATCAATAATTGATTTGATTCATTGGAATATTTGGCTTCCTCGACCAACTCCATGCTACGGTCCCCTCTGTCTGATTTGCTAAAGAAAGGCTCCAAGAGCTGTCATGTCATGAACCCTTCACGTTTTCTAGTGGTTTTGTTTTTACATGAACGCCTCACGTTTTCTAGTGGTTTTGTTTTTACACCACCAACTTTTCACTATGATGGTCAAGTTGATTCTTGTAATTAGAAGAACAATGTCAAGATCTTCTCATGAATGATTATCAAGAAGTCTTACATCAATAGAAACATGTATTACATCATATCTCTCATTAGAATCATATAGAGATCATTAGTACAATGTAAGAATAAGTATAACCAAAGAAGACTCTAAAACACAGCTTCTACAAGTATGTGTTTCTTTTTAGACCCAAATCCAACAATGTGGTTTAGATAAACTCTTCCTTCTTTAACTGTAGCCGACGAGGCTAACCGATGAACCATACCGCTACTGAACCAACTCGTCACAGAAGCTGTCTTCCACCCATCTAAACTCTCCACCAGTTTCGAACTTGGACTACCTAAAAAACACATCTCACATTCATTGGCACAAGCTTACAAAAACAGAACTTCACAAATTAGAGATGTTAGAACTATTACCTGCAACAACAATCTTGGTCGGAGACAACAACTCAAGCCCATCTCCAAACCTCAATGTACCACCAGAAACATCAATTACACTAACTAGATTATCATTACCACTAACATTTACTTTGTACAAGTAACCAGATAAAGTGTGGATAACGATAAGGTAACCATCCGGATGATAAACAATACCATTAAGAGCAACAAGGTTATTGTACCATCCAAGTGGAGTAAACAGAGGACTTGTAATAACGCTTACAAGCTTCCCATTAACATCAACTTTCCAAATCTTACTACCTACTGCATCAGTCACATAAGCATTTCCTTGTTCATCAACAGCTACATCGTCTGCAAACGTTTTCTCTTTACCTACAACATTATTTATATCACATAACCTATTCAAGAAACCATATTGTAGCACGAAGAAGGCTTATTTATATACTAAAGTTACTTCACTTACCATGGCAGCTAAGTTCAGCTAAGAAGAGACGACGCCACGTAGATAAATCATAAGCTGCTAAAGCGCTGTAACGGTTACCAAGCAAATCAGAGACGGCGACTAGGACACGGTTTCTGACTTGGTCGATAGATATACCTAAGGAAGCGTTACCGGCGAGGTCAACGTCTTTGACCAAAGTGACTTCTTCAAGAACGTCGCCGTCGGAATCTTTAGGAACAATCTCGCCGACTCCTCCTCCGTCCATGAATGAGACTAGGAATCGCCGACCAACGTCGTCCCATTTAGCGCACTCACGGAAGTAGCCGGAGCTATGGTAAGAGAAGACGTGAGTAGAAGGAACAGCTAGCTCTAAAGAGATTAGGTAAGCTATAGGAACGGCAGAGATTACGAGGAAGAGCGCGGCGGAGCAACGGCCGGAGCAAAACGAGGGAGATATTTTTTTTTGCATTTTTTTTTTTCTTGAGATTGGAGAAAAAAATGGTTAGAAAAAGAGAAATAAATTGGGTACGACGAAGACCAAAAGTTAAAGGGGAAATAAAAAGTTGGTGAGCGAACGTTAAAAATTTGGTAATGCACACACACGTTGGGTTGGAGTAAAAAAAAAGACTTGTATTGGTGGCCCGTTTAATGTGTTATTGGGCCCAGAGAAGTGTACTTGTAAACTAATTTAATGCATATAGCATATAGTAGTGGGAGCTTTAAATATTATTTCAACGTGTTTGACCATGGTGGGCGTTTAAAGATATAGAATCATTCGTATATTTTTGGATTTTCGGGTTTAAAGATATAGAATCATTCGTATATTTCTTGATTTTGGATTGGAATTGGATTTGGATTAGGTATTCAGGTTCGGGTTCGGACTTCAAATTTTCAAAATTCAAAATTTTGAGTATCCAAATATGTTCAAACTAGTAGTTTTGGTAAAAATATGAAACTATGAATAAAACTAAAAATCTCTAGTATGTTTACCAAAATTTACAAAAAAGATTTTAATACTAAAAAAAAAGTCCAAAATATACAAAATGGATATTTTGGACATTTAGACTTTTACAAATATAAATATTATTAATAAATTATTACTAAATATTTATATTGTGGGTCGGGTTTAGATTCAGATTCAGGTTTTTCGGATTTAAAAAGATTTTAGAATCTGTTCGAATATTTATAGATTTCATGTTCTGATTCCGATCGGTTTTTCGAGTTCGGTTAATTTGCCAAAACCTATTTCTCTTAATTAATTGCATATGTTTTGTTCAATTAGTAACTTTGTTATAATTATTATTATTTTAAAATAAAATTAATGCTTTAAGTTCCCATAGTTTTTAAAGAATTATTTTTACCCTGTTTCCAATTGTACATAGTGACAATGTTTTACCCTAAAAATATCAATCGGGTGACATGAGGCTTATTTAAAATCGAATCTCTTACCGTAAGAATATACTAAGAGAAAATTGATTTGCCTTATTGTTCTCAAACAGAATCATAAAACCCTAGAGAGACTGAGTTAGTTTTAGGGTTTGAGCTATGAGTGGTCAAGATGCAATCAGCCGTCTACCAGATGAGGTTCTTGCGTGCATCTTATCATCCCTCACAACAAAACAGGCAGCTTCAACGTCAGTGCTGTCGAAGAGATGGAGGAATGTTTTTGCTTTCGTTAACAATCTCGACCTCGATGACCGTGATTCTGTGCGTACGTTAGCACGACATCGGCGTGAAAATTCCAAGAGGTTCAAGGCCTTCGTTTCGAGCTTTCTTGATACGCAAGGCAGTTCGAAGTTTATAAAGAAGTTCACTTTAAAGATTCATGTTAACGTTCAAAATCGATATGGTCTTGATCCAGCTTGTGTTGAGAGCTGGATATGCAATGTTCTTGACCGTGGTGTTGTGGATCTTGATCTGTCCATCATAACTTTCCAAGGAAAATCTCCACCAGTGCTTACGTTGGACGTGATGAGAAAGACATTGGTTAAGCTGAGCCTGAACCTAGGGCGTTGTTTTATCGTTAAGCTTCCTCAGGATATTTCTCTTCCTTTGCTTAGGACATTATGTCTTAACTCAGTTGGTTTTGATAGAGATTGTGATGTCGTTGGAACACTTCTATCTCGTTGCCCTTTCTTGGAAGAAATTTATTTTGAGGAATCAAACTCTAAGAAGCCCTCTCTTCCTGTACAAATACAATGGTCGTCTTCATCTCTAAAGAGACTAAGCATCCGGTTTAATGATTTCGTAAAGATTTCATTTGATTTTCCTAATCTTGTCTTCTTCGAGCTTTCGTATGAATCTGGGAGCGAGTTTCTAAATGTGAACTTGGATTCTCTCATTGAAGCCAGACTCAATCATCGGTGTCCCACACGGGGATATGATTATTCTCACGTTAATTTGATACATCTCATCAATGGAATCAGTAACGTTAGGACTCTTCACTTATGTAGTCTTTTTCTTGATGAGGTCAGTCTAACTACATTGTGAGTTTAATTGCTTCAAAATATTTTGAGTGATGATGATGATGATGACTACCTGATTTGGTTTTTTTCTTTGCAGATGATTTTCACCTTCTACTTCACCTTCAATGAAATATTACCGATGTTTCATAACCTTGTTTGTCTATCTATCGAGAGCAAAAAGAGCCGTGGATGGAAAATACTGCCACATATAATTAGAAACTCTCCAAATCTAGAAACTCTCATCTTCAAGGTACAAAAACATCCTAAATACTGATATGTCTACTATATATATATACTAGTTTAGTACCCCTCCAATGGACGGGTTATCTTTATTTAAAATTAAATTAAAATTAAAATTTATTATAACTTATAAAAAAATAATTTCCAAATTTTATTTTTGAAAAAATTAGAGAAATTAATTTTCATTTGGAAAGATATTTTATTTGGTTTGAAATATCAAACAAACGTGTATATATGTATATATATATATCTCTTAAAATTCGTTATTAAACGTTTATTATAAAAATCTAGTATTGTCAAATTGACAATCACCAAAACATTTGGGAGATATTTGCGAGCTATTCACCATTACTCATAATATTTCTAAAATATTTTTAAAAATATTAATTTAGCAATTATCCTCTAAAACATGATTATACCATTTTGTAAATTTTTTATTTCTTAACTTAAATTTTTCAAAAAATCATTCTCAGACTATGAAAATTAATTAATTATCATTTAATATGATGGTAAAGTTCTTTCAAATTAACATCAATCTAAAATATGATGTTAAATACAAATATAGTCATTTGTAAATAAATTCATATAAACAACGCAGATAAACATAAAGATTATAAAATAAATTATAGCATCGTTGAGGAAAACATTCAAAAATCTTTCAAATACGAATTATGAAAAACTACATATTTTCTTTAAAAATATTTTAAACTTACTATATTACGATTTATATTGAACTTTGTTATCTTTAATTTAAGCTAAAAATATTATTTTCGAAAATCTTTTATTCACCCTTATATTTTAGACAAAATTGCTCAATGGCATAATACATTCATACATAAATTTAAAATTAAACAAATATAACATATTATAAAATATATATCATGAATAAAATTATGTATTTAGTTAAACTCAAAATCTAATTTATTTGTAAACTGCAAATCCTAATTCTCCTTTATGAACCCAAACTAATAAATAACCTTGTTTAAATGTAAAACCTAAATCTCACTCCTCTTTAATAAACTCAAAACGATAAATAATCTCGTTTAATTATAAAATCTAAACTATAATGCAGATTTATAAACTCAACATATAACCCTTATAATTGTAAAACCTACAATTGGCAAAACCAAAAATTAGGTTAACAGTTTAAAGAGAATTTTTGAGAAATAACGCTTTTGGTGTACCCATTTTTAAAAATACACCAATTTTTATCCATTTAAAAAATATCTCTTTTCAAATATGAAAATTTGTAAACTTGTATATAGTTTATAAGGTACATCTAGATAATCATTACTATTGGGAGACTCAATAAAAATATTTATAAAGTTTTAAAAAGGTTCTAAACGGTATTTATAAGACTTTTATAAGGTTTTTATAAGGTTTAAAACGTTTTTATATGTTTTTAAATAATTTTTAAAACGTTTTTATTTGGTATAAAAACGGTATTTAAATTTATACGCATAGAAAGATAATTTGTGTCTAAATATATAAGTTTACACTTTTTTTTATAATAAATATCAATTTTTTTACATTTTAATTATCAAAAATACCTTTTTCCATACCACTTTTAAAAAATACCCCTATTTCAAATTTGATATGAACAAACCATTTTACATATTTAAATTTATCCAAATATGTGTGAAAACTTATAAATATACACACAAATTACCTTTATATATGTTTAAAATTTTATATATCTTTCATAAATAGCGTAAAATGACTTATAAAAACCTTATAAACCCTTTTAAAAACCACTTAAAACCTTATAAAACTTGTAAAAACGATTTAAAACCTTTTAAAACATTGTAAAATATTTGTTTCAAATTTCCAAGTAGTAGTTATTATATAGAAGTACCTTATAAACCATATAAAACTTTATAATTTTTCATATTTAAACATGGATATTTTTGAAAATGGATAGATAAAGGAGGTATTTTTGAAAAGGGGTATATCTGAGAAATTCTCTTTAACTTTTTTATAATTATTTTTAATATTGTTTAAAAATTCTATTTGTATCTTAATATTAACAAATTAGATATAACATGTTGCGACATCTTATGTTTTTACTTGACACTTATCATGATCACGTGAGTTAGTAAATTTAAAAACCAGGTTTCGACATATAGTCTCCTTTAATTGTTAAACTTAAACCATAATTTTAATTTATAAAGATAAACCATAATTCTTATTTATCATTTATATACCCAAACTAACAAATAACCTGATTTAATTGTAAAATTAAAGTTTAAACCTTAATCCTCTTCTGTAAACAAAAACTGCCATATATTCTTGTTAATTATAAATTTTAAATCTCTATCTTATTAATAAACCAAATTGACATAACTGAAATTAGGTTATTTGTTTAATTTTATTAATAATTTTTAATATATAATTCTTTATAATATTTATTTTATATATTTTATATATAATTCTTTATAATATTTCTATTTTATCCAAATATTAACAAAATTAGTTACAATACGTGACATAACATCTTATCGTTTATAATTGACACGTGTCATGATCTTGTTAATGGCTGAATTTGAAAACCAAGGTTTATATAATAAGATATCCTTAGATTCTTGGTCTCCTTTATGCTTCAGGGTCTAAAGCACCGTTGTGATGTATGTTCTGGGGATGTATGTGATTGCTATCTCTCCAGCAGGAGAAACAGACCGTCTTGCCTAACAGCATCCCGAGTTAAAGTGCTGGAGATATTAGATTACAGAGTATATTGCAGAAGTGATGAGAGTCAACTGAAGCATTTCTTGGCGAAATTAACCTGTCTTGAAGTTGTCAAATTAAGTGCAAGTAACCTCGACATGCCTCCCACTGGTTGGCACAAGAGTTTAAGGACGATTCCAAGAGCTTCACGAAACTGCAAGTTCCAAGTCATTCCTTGACCAAAACTCTAGCTAGTACTTACTTAATTCGTCCATGGTTTTGCAAATTTCTTCTGATTCTTGCACTCATAAATTTATGTCTTGGTCTTTTTGGTGTTTGACAAAACCTTGCCCCGGACAAAACATGAGACATTGAGTAATTGTTCTTTTTCAGTCACTTATGTTTTCTTGACGAGAGAGAGTCTTTTAAATCTTATCATATACTACCAGCATTACGAACTTGAACCAACCCAAATAACATTTGAATTTGTGTTTTGTTAGTGAAAAATTTGTTAGATTTGACAGGAGAAACTTACTTATAAGTATTTTGACTAAAGTTATATTCATATTCGTAGTAATACTAATTCATGAAAATTATCAGTTTATCACCATATATGAATTTTAAAATTAGTCATTAGTTTTATAATCTCCTCTCCTCATCTATCTATCTATACAAAAAAAAAACAAGAAAGAGGAAAAAGACTTTTCCGACAGTGGTTGCAAAAGCCAAGTCAGATAAGTGATATCTTTTGTGATTTGATTACATGCACTGTGAGAGATGACGTGATCTTCAAGTGAACTGGAGACACTAACCACAAACCCTAATTAAGACTGAAGCTCCTGTGAGGAAGATGAAGAAGAGAAAATGCTGTTGTTACTTCTCTCCAAGCTACTGATTGACACAGAGTCATTGTCCTCCACGTCGACCATCGCTAGGCTCAAGTGTAGTTCTGTGTTCGAATTTGGGTAAACCTCGTCGTCCAAACAATCTTCGTTTTCTTCTACTATCTTCACCCATTTCTCTACTTCTTCTTCGCCTCTTAGCAGCTTCAATATCTGCAGGAATGTTATTGGATAAGTGACTAAGATCTTGGCACAATTTATAGGTTAAACAGAGGATTTAACACTTGGATCTGAATAAGTCTCCACGATTTAACCTCTCTGATATTGGGACGATGAGTGGCTGCTCTTGTGAGACAATGTGAAGCAGCAAGAACCATCTTATGAAACTGATCCTCATCGAAAGTCCCAGAGATATTCGGATCCAATAGCTCTTTTGCATTGCCTTTTTCGATCATTGGTTTTGCCTGCAACCCAAGTAATCTATTTTTGAGGTTTCTAATGACGATTTCTTGTGTTACAAGTAAACAAAACCAACACTTACCCACATGACCAAACTCTCTTGTCCTCTTGGGCTATTAGATGAAATAGGAGTTCTTCCTGAAATGAGTTCAAGCAAAACTACTCCAAAGGCATATACATCGACTTTGTCGCTGACTTTTCCATACATGAAGTACTCTGGAGCTAGGTATCCAAACGTTCCAACCACGTCTCTTTGTATAGTATATCGACAAGACTTCGATCCCCATATCGAAAGTCCGAAATCTGAAAGCTATTCTCGAAATAAAGATTCAGTAAAGTTTAAATCTGTATGAGTTCTTACTAGTTCTGAGTCACTATTTTTTACAATACCTGAGGTTCGAACTCGTCCGAGAGAAGAACATTCGAAGATTTGACATCTCTGTGGATCACAGGATTTGAACATTGGTTATGGAGATAATCAAGAGCTTCTCCTAACCCAATTGCTATCTTGAATCTCTCTTCCCATCTCAATACATGCTTACCTGAAGAAACTGAATCATTAGTGAACTCTTTATGACATTATGTGTCAAGATGACTAAGACCATCATCAATGGTAGTCTCTTAGGGCTAAGATTTCCTTAAGAGAGTACATTATATAAGGTACTCTCTTAAGAAAATCTTAGCCCTAAGAGTCTACCATTGAGGATGCCCTAAGAGAATTAAGTAGAATTGTGCTAACATTGAAGAGTTTCCTCCAAACTCCCTCGGGATGAGAGATTGTAAACAGAGATAAGATCGTTGTAATGAACGCATACACCAATCAAAGGAGAGATGTTTTGGTGACTCAAAGAAGAGATTATGCTCACTTCATGAACAAACTCCTTCACTGCTTCTTTTACAGATGGTTTCAAGATCTTCACCGCCACAGCTTTACCATTTTCAAGAAACCCTTTGTACACTTCGTTACATCCTCCTTTCCCGATCAGATTCTCTATAATCGAATAAAAAGAACACGATAAATTGGCGGTTAACACGATAAAAAAACAGAGTAGATCGTTATAGTACCTGAAGAGAAATCTGATGTTGCTGTCTTAAGAGCATCATAGCTGAACCATCTGTTTATTTCCTTTAGTATGTCTCTAAGTTGTTTATCGCAAAAGCTCGGTTGAGAAGTCGGATTCGGATGATGCGGGAACCGTTCAGGCAAGCTCATGACCCAATTAACAACTGATATTTTCCTAGTATGATGGTGAACCATTGGACTAGCTAAAGTGGTTGTTCTTAACAATGGCCAACCCGGTTTCTTGTCTATTACCTCTACTGATGGAAGAGATAGAGATCTTCCTGAAATCTTCCTCTTCTCTTCCCCCGTTGCTCCCGCGATCTCTATGCTTTTAACCGTAGATTCTTCATATTTCAATTTTCTTTCTTCGTCTGAAAATCCATTAGAAAGTTCAGAACTTAGTCTTGAACTCATCTTTTGAGCTGCAAGAAGAACCAAAATATACTTTGTCAACCGATTCGAGTTTAAAGAATGTTACATAGACTTATATAGAGTCAAAGACTCTGTTCATAAAGAGGACCAACGAACCAAGAGGTAGGTGGTAATGGTTGGAACGTCTAAAGACTATATTCCCTCTGTGGATGGCCAAAACATCGGTTGTTGAAGGAAGCTCCTTTGCGCAGCCTTTAGCTATTTTAAGACTAATAAAAAAACATCTAAAATCAAGAAAAGAATATCCAAAAAGAAAAGTTAAATAAGTTTTCTACTTATAATTTTTTCTCACCTTAATTTTCTTTGTTGTTTAACTCCAACAACAACTGACATGGCGTTGTATCTCTTTGCCTCTTTAACTAAAACTCCTATAACTGAATTCCCTTTTAAAACTTCTCCTTTGAGCTCAATCTGTTCTCGAAAACCGAACATTCGATGTTATATATTGCTAGAAAATTACGCGAAATGAACTCGGAAATGGATCTAGTGATACCTTATTTGTTGAGCAGAATCCACTGTAATGTTCTAAGTACCGATCTAGCGATGACTTGCTTTTCAAGGCACGAACTGTATCAATTAAGAAAGAATCAAAATCTAGTAAATAGAAACTTCAAAAGAACAGAACAAGGATCGGAGAAGAAGAAGATGAGCTTACAAGAAGTAAAACAAACATGGACAACAACAACACAATCTCCAAGTTGAGCAACTTCTTCAAGTGCCCATTTCAAGATCTCTTTGCCACTCTCATCAATTCTAATTCCAACCAATACAATGTTCCTCTTCTTCACAATCACATGATCCACTTTTCTTTCTTTCTCCACTGCCATTATTTGTTTCCTCACAAACTTCTCTTCCTTTTTTTTTTTCTTTTGTAAGAGAAGCTAGAACTAATACAAAATGCAATTAAAAGTATAATCAATTATCAATATAAGAAAAAGTTATAAAATAAAACAATGTATTGCTTCTTTAAATACTCAAGTTGAAAGATAGAAAAATCAGAAACTTGATGTTGCAACAACTATAAGATACAAACAAACATAAAAGTCCAGAGTATTGATCAGAGAGAGACACTTGAAAATTCAAAGGATACAAAGTTGAATTTTAAAGAGATACACGATGAGCATTAAGAGACAACATAGTATCACCTAAAGCCTTTGTTAATTATTATATTATTAAATTTTTGTCTTTAGGACATAAATAAATTGATAGTTTTGCGTCCATGTGCCATCAGCATTTGTACCTGCCCCTGCCACGACTAGAATGATCACAAATAAGAAAGCAACTTACATTTGAAGGACCTTAATATATACGTAAATATTGCTGATGATCTTGATCTTCTTGAGATATTCAAGAAGCTTGGCTTGGTTTTTGTTATATGTAATGAAATGATCAGAGAAGAAGGAAGAGGAAGAGGAGAAGAAAGTGTCGGTGAAGAGAAAGAGAGAGATAGAGCGAAGCCAAAAAAAAGGGTCCAGTGAGCAAAAGAAGACACAAGGGACCAATTTTGATTTTTTTTTCTTTCTTTTTAAAACAATTTACGTGCTTTTTTACTTTTTTTAATTTTTAATTTTTTTTTTTTACATGTTTTTCTAAGAAAAGAAAGGTGAACAAGTGAGGTTTTTTGTGTGTGTTTTGTTTGTTGGTTTTATATGAATGAATAAATGAGTTTGGTTAGGAGAAAGTGGCAAATATTGCGGGGAAAGGCATGAAATTAGGTGATTAAGTCCCCTTAAGTGAACATATGTGTGTATGGTCTCACCATCTATTTCGGGGTTTAGAGTGTAACCGAGTCGACCAAAAGCTGCCTCCATTGCTTAGATATTAAAAAGGAAAAAAGAAATAAAAATTTTGTTTTCTTATAGCAAATATTATAGAAATGAGTTTTCTTTAAAGAAATAAAGTGTAGATGGTTGGTATATTGTGTTTTAGTGTTTAGTATATATCAGCTATCAATGTCTATATGGTAATGTGGTATATAATGAGTTAGAAAGATTTTCTAAATGAATGTGACATAAGAATCACGTTTTGACCACATATTGTGTTATTATTATTATATGTATATCAACTACCAATAATTCATTCGACAATTATTCTGACATTTATATGTATGTGTATATATATATATATATATATTTAATTTTCTAATAAAATCATTCTAATAATTCACTAGTTATTTCTTATTATATTTAGTCTTAGCTATATGATCAAAATCTAATAATCTAGGCGTAAACAGTACGTCGACTAAAAATATATAATTAATTTTTAACTCATGTATGGTTCATGCATGCGTTATGGACCGACATGGTCAGTAATATTGGATGTCCAAGTCCATGAGTGATTCGATCGATCAGCATCGTAGTTCATAGTAGTTAGTACTGTTCGTTCTTAATCACAATGATTGTTGCTTAGAGTAATAACTCTCACTCAACTTGAAGAAAAAAACCAAATCTACTTTGTTCTCTCGGTCTTAATATGACAAATTGGGACATCTGGTGGACAAAAATGCTATGTGTCCTTTATGAATATTCTCTTGTCACGAAGTGTAATTAAGAAGTTAAAAAATTAAAGAACATTTTCTATGGCTATGATGACAGTGATGAAGCGAATTAGTTTTGGTGGTTGTAATCAAATTATGTTGGATGCACCTACTACTTGATCAATAAATACTTATTTTAACCATTAATAGCAAATTTTGTATCTTCACATTATATATCGAGAGAATATAATTTTTTGATAAGAATTTTATATTTTTGTTAAATTAATATTTAAGACTTTATTTAAAAAATTATATGAGTAGTAAAATAAGTTAAGACATGTTTAGCTGGTTAAAAATATATCATAAATTTGAAGTTATTCTTACAATTTTACATTAAGTTAAAAAATTAATAATATATTTCACATGAATTATGTAAACTTAATTCAAAAAATTTAGTTTAATAACAAACAACCACTAACCACCAACAAAAAAAAAACTAATTAAGAAAACACTTTTCTTTCTTTCTAAATGGACTATACGCATATCTTTTTTTTTGAATAAAATATAAATCTATTCGAAAAATACGTTTTTACAACTAATGCCGTTTTTACTTGAACGGTCTGCATTTTACAAAAATAAAGGAGTGAAAAAAAAAACATAATTTAGGCGAACCAAGTAGGCATGACCACGGTTACGGTTAATGCGGTTATGGTTAATTAACCACCGGTTAACGGTTATAATTTTTTTAACCATAACCTTAATCATTATATATACGGTTAAGACGGTTACGGTTATATACGGTTACGGTTAATTACGGTTACGGTTAAATACGGTTACGGTTATTTGATGATTATTATAATATTAATATTGGAGATAAAATTTTATGAAATATTATTTATTTTACAAGTAAAAAACATATTTGATTTCAATTATTTATAGTGAATTAGTTAAATCTGGGTATTGTATACAGTTATAATATAATTTATTTTAAAATTTTAAATATGCGGTTAACCGAGCGTTTAACCGTACGGTTAACCGACGATTAATTACGGTTAATTATGGTTACGGTTAATTAACGGTTACGGTTATTATTATTTTTTAACCGTAACTAATTTACTTTTACGGTTAACGGTTACAATTTTTAACCGTTTTATACGGTTACAATTTTTAACCGTTTTATACGGTTACGGTTGATAAACGGTCCGGTTACGGTTAAAAATACGGTTAAGGTTAGCTTTTGGTCATGCCTAGAACCAAGTGAGCATGCATCCTCTGAACTTATCACCTCCTTGCTCTTGGATGGTGCATATCCTATTTACGCATATTTTATTTTAGATTAATTGATCTGGATTTGTATACAAGTTAAGATTTGGTTGATGTATTTTGGCTCTGAATGGTAACCATACCGTACTACAAAACCGCACCGCAACAGTGTCAAAATATCTGCATATACATATATATCTATATATTTTCGATACTATTTGAACTGCACCGCACTTCTCCCGCATTGAAAAACGAAGTTACCATTCGGAACCTTTATTTGAAGAATCTAGATATAGTCTACTCGATATCCTTGTTGTCACTTAGTATGTTATCCAAATGTAAGATTACGGGCTTGTAAAAAAAGTAGTTATTTGCTGTGTTTGTATGAGCGACACATTGCAAATTAATTAGGACATGTGGTGGTCTGTGAAACAACATGTTGCAAAATGGAGAGCTTCATGTAGAGTTAGTATTCACAGTTAGGTGTTTTATTATTCCTCTTCATTAGAGAAAGGTGGAGAACATCACATTCAAGAAGCTCTTCTCCACTAGATGCTATGTTCTTAACCAGACCAGGGCCATGACCATGTAGTTTTGTATATGAGTGATCCATTCTCATGCTTTGGACATTTTTTCCCAAACTAATTTGTTTTGCCACTATGGAAACAAAGGCCTAATCAAGCACAACATTATCTAAACATTATCTTATTGTTTAACAAATCTTTTTATTACTACTTATTTTATTGGTTTATTTGACCTCAAATTTATACTATCGCACACTTTGCGGTGTCCTTTTGGTTTAAGTCTATCGGGGTACACTCGAGTCAACCACTAATAAAAATTATTGATCTTTGTCAAAATCGTAGTTAGCTTGTTAAATTATAATCGTTTTTATTTTTCAATAAATTTTATTCAGTATCATTAACTAAAACAGAAAGATTGCACAATGATCTCTACTCAACTTGGTTTCAAGAGTTTCAGAAAGATTGTTTGCTAAAACCGCCACTTATTCAACTTAATTAATTTAAAGAGTTTTCGTCGTTGTTTGGGGAGTTTGAATATCTTCTTTGGACAATAAGATCTCTCATCTGACTGTCTTTAACCAGTGTTGCTTTTGATCAAATTGTACAGATTCAACTCGACTAATAGCCATTCCCAGTGAGTGGCCTTCTTTAAGAGTTGGAAATTTTCATTTTATTAATACTTTCTTTTCATTTAATTTTCTTGACTGAAATCTTGAATTCCTTGTCGTAACAAATTATGGTCTGCTTCTGAAAATAACGCAACCAATCTTCTCCTCAAGTCTCTTGGATCATGCTGAACCAGATGCCTTCATTTATCGCTATAGACAAGGATTCAATGTGTATCCCATCAAACCAGCCTTTTGCGTCCTGGATCGGTTGTCTTTTCGCGATTCCAACTTCCCAGGTTTGGTTTCCTAGGACTCAGAGGAAATCAAATTCCTAAATTCATACGGCATTAATATTTTTTTGACGAGTCTCAATCATTTCTTTATACTCGTTGTCATCGTCTTTAAAGATATTTATCATGTCCTTTCTGCTGCAGCGAATAGTCATCACACCATAATCAATAGGATTACTCTTGAGAAACTTGGAACGTCTTTGATTTTCCTTGAGTTTGTTTACCATCTACCTCCGCCAACCCGTTTTGACGCACATCCATACCCTAGAGTAGCTAAACAGCTGGCCGACTGTAGAATCATTAAGCATATAGAGACTTGGAGAGATAGTCATGTACAATAGTCGCACTACTGGTTTCTTGTCACTTCTAACACATGACGATGGCTTTAAGGAGGTCACTGTATCCATTCAGGATTTAGATGTTCAACATGTTCATTTTGCTTGCTTGTATACTATGGGTCAGAACTTGTCATTTTGCTTGTTGTCATGTTCTGCCTTTTATGAAATGCAGAATTGACTTTAATAAAAAAAAATTATCGTATTTTTGAAAAAAAAAAGAATTTGTTATCTAAGAAAATTTCTCTAAAATAAATTCTATATATAATGGATTGTTTGAATTAAAAAGTAGTTAATACAAAGAATGAGATTGATCAAACTACCTAGAAGCGAAGACTAAACCATGCACCAGCTTTGAGAATGTCTAACTTTTGATGAAAAATCTAGGCATGTTTCTCAATTACTACAACTTTTAACCAAATTTACACTAAATTTTAACCAAAATTAAGAAATCTAGGCATGTTTCTCAATTACAAATTTTATGCCAAAAAAGGTTTCTCAGTTAAACTAACATAAAAACAGAAATCATCAATAATTAATATTCCACTTCTTTTATTATTATTATTACATAATAAGACGACGAAATCAAAGGACGAAGGAAACAAGAAGAGTTACGTTGTGTGTTTTAAAACAAGGCATATTTTTGAGTCCAGCTTCGAGCCATGGCTTCATATTTGGTCTTGTCAGTTTTGTATATGTGAGCTATCTCTGGCACCAGAGGATCATCAGGGTTTGGGTCTGTAAGAAGAGAGCATACCGAGAGAAGCACCTACAAAAAACCAAAAACTTTAGCAATTTGTATATAACACCACCATAGAGCTAGCTACTTGGTATATACAAAACTGATGGAGAAATATATATATATCAAGAAGCTTAAGGCTTATATATATTATATCAAACCTTAGAGATGGTAAGGGCAGGGCTCCATTGGTCTTTGAGAATATCCAAACATATGTTTCCATTACTGTTGATGTTTGGGTGAAACACTTTGGTTCTAAAGACAACCTGAAAACATTAACAAAACACCACAACAAAAGGAAAAAGAAAGAAAGATCATTAGAACTCATTTTTTTTTTTGTATAATCAAAGAGGTTCTGGGTCGAAACCCATATATTCCATCAGGCTCGAGACCAAAGTATGTTATATGGTCTCGTCCCAAGCGCTACTCGAACCGGCGACCTCTAAACTTTTGCCAGATATCTTTACCAATTGAGCTATTAGCACTTGGTCATCACAACTTTATTATAAACATTTTTGGAAACAATCATATCATAGTTTCCTTGTTGTTTAAGTCATTTACCTTGGGAGGCTTGAAAGGATAATCCGGAGGGAAATGGATATTGACAAGGAAAACACCGCCGGAGTATGGACTTTCGATCGGACCCATTATCGTAGCTTGCCAATGGAACATATCTTCTCCTGTTGGTCCTAAAAAAACCATAAACCAAAGACAAGGAAATCATCAAACATGCTCTATTGTAGTAACAACAAACTGTGATCCTTTACCTGCACTACATGATACAGGAGGGTCTCTTTGCAACTCCTTAAGTTCTTTCAATATCCGTCTTGTAGCCATCGGGTCAGAAAAATGTTTGGTTCAAGGGAAATGGATGGTATATGTGTAGAGAATGAGGAATGAGAGGTGTGTTTTTAAAGCGTAAACCGTAAGCAAAGAGTTTTGATTCTCTCTTGCAAACAAAATTGCTAGCTTGCACTAAGAATTTTCTTATATCATTTGTTTATAAAAGATGTGCGATTTTAAAAGTCTCTTTTTTAGCCGCCCGCTTTGCCCATAAAGGTGATGGAGAATGATCCATGCTTTTGTTCTGATTCTGAAAGAGAGACTTGCATGGAAGTGGATGGTCTTATTACATGCTTGCTGTAATATACCATATTTATTGAACGGTCTATAATGGGACTTGGTAAAGTTCTTGTATTCTTCACAAAGAATCTAATAAGAATCAGAATATGTTAACATAACAATCGTTATTACAATATCTTTTGTTCTTAGTCTTATTTGTCCATGTTCATTGGAACTAGCAGATCAAACTAAACTTACAACTTGAAAAATAAAATTATGTTTCATAGCACATGAAGCAAAGATGTGTGAAAGAAAACGCTTTCGATCACTTGCAACAACACCATGTGCCATCTACTTCTTTTCTTAAAAAGTTATCAATATTTTTAATTGTTCAATTCACATCAATTTTATACCACATTTTATTTTACCATTATTCACATATTCTTGCGTCTTTGACTCTTTGCTCTCTAAATACCATGAGTTACTCTAAGTCTCTAATACTGTACATAATAATAATTGTTTTTTAATTATATAGAAACCAAAACGAATTAAAAGATTTCAGAAAATTTTAATTAAGGGCAATTCTAAAAAATGGCATCAAATTAAGTTTTTCTTTCATTAGTTCTTTTATTTTCTAAAATTTAGCATAAAAACTCTAATTTAATACTAAAAACCTAAAATTATTATTTTCATTAAAAAAAAAATCATCTTTATGTCAAGATTCAATCATTGATATTGGTAACTCCTACTCAAGATTCACAACGTTTTACATTTCTATTTAGGAAAGGTTCCTTGAACATAAGTATTTGAGTCCATAATGTCATCATGAAATTTATACCATCAGACAAAAATGACAAAAACAACAAGATACTGAAATAGAACACAAGAAACAATGTTGAAGATTAAAGCAAATATACTCAGATTCACCTAATTCTAATCACCATCCCTATCTTCTTCTCCTTGTCCCTTCTCAGTCTGATTCTGAATCCGACACTAGTAGACATTTTGGCTTCTCCAGTGGAGGGTGGAATGGCTTGAGTAGTTCTAAATCATTAACATCAAGATCCTCTACGTGGTTTACATAGGTGCAAACGCTACAACATTCCTTAGAAACTTCACCAAAACCTTGGATCTCAACACGTTGGAATGTCTCCTTTTCAAGGTTGAAATAGAAAACATAAAACGGTTCTTCAGGTATATAATTGCGCATCGAAAACACTATTTCACCCGAAGCGGTCGCTCCAGCGACAGAAACATTACAACGTAAGAATTCATCATCGGTCCAAGTGTAGGCATATTTTGACCATTCTTTTTTCTCAACATCCTCTAGAATCCACACATGCAACTCATCATCCCAATAAATCATTGCTAATTTGCCTTTATAATTTATCAATTGACAAAAACATTCTACCTCAATAAAGGTGAATTTCTCTAACCTAACATCAAAGCAAACTATCACATAATCATAAGAGTCTAGATCACCGGAATAACTAAAAACAACGTCCCTATCACCTAAGTAATACAAAATCCCATTGATGCATACCCCTTCACTCCTAACATCATGTAAAAAGGAACATTTAACCTTTCTCCAGCTCATTTCTCCATCTCCAAATGAAAGAACTTTATCACGGCCAGGACCAGATGGATAAGCCATATACAATACCTTGTATTGCTTGTTAATCGGGTCAAACCCGAAAAAGCTATACGCCTTCCTGTAAGTATACCGATAAGGTAAGATTGCATAACGTCCTGTGATGGGGTTACATATCAGAGGTCGAGCCTAGTATCTACTACCATGGATATAAAACAAGCCAGAGGCATAGCCACATGAAGAATATTTTAGGTCAAAATAATGATTGATCTTTAAATTCTCTGGAGAGAACTTCACATGAAATTCGGCGGCTGATACAAGAGTTGACGAAGATTTTTCATATGGATTCTCAAGCTGAGGTAACGAGAAGAAGCTCCACACACCACAGCCAGCTTCTTCGTCTTCGTCCCCGTTTTCTATGATGGCGAATAAGAGGCGCGGCTTAGCCAAGCACCTGGTCATGAACAACTTCTTGAAATATGGACTACCAAACATTGATGCCCATTGCTTCGACACGCAACGAAACCTTGCGACCGACTTTGAAGGCAACCTCGACAATATCTCGGAGATGAGATCACTAATCGATATATGAGATGATGAATTCATCGATATGGAGAGGAATGGATGAGATTCAACAAAGAAAGTGATATGTTAAAACCTTATATATCTTAGACCTGTACATATACATATATATGTATATAATATTAAAGGGTTTATCTTATAACTTTTTAACATCTAATTTGGCTTTTTAATACTTTACATGTGTCATCATCTTTTTTTTCTCTTAATTATTATCACTATTTTTAATTATTCAATTCACATCAAATTTACCACATTTTATTTACCATTATTCACATAAATTAAGTCAAATATTTCCATCTTTTTTATTTATCAGAAGTATTATTCAGTTTCTCTATGTTTTCATACTTATTAAAATTTTAATACAATATTTTATATTATGAGAGGGTTTACTTTCTACCTTTTTGACGTTTGACACTTCCGTACTTACCATTTCATCTTCTTTTCTCTTAATTATTATCAATATTTTTAATTATTAATTTCACATTAATTTTAACACACTTTATTTACTTTAATTCATATAAATTAATTATTAAATTTTCCATCTTTTTATTTATCAGTTTTATTTTTTCATTTTCCTATATTTTTCATACTTCTTAAAAATATAAATATAATGTGAAAAAACATATTTGACACCAAGAATTTGTTTGTTTTACATCAATAATACAAAGAAAAAAACTTAGATATTACAACTGAATTTTTTAATCAATTCTAGACATATTTCCTGATTCTTTTCAAAATATAAGTGTATTAAATTTATTAAATTAACTATTCTAATATTTGCTGGCTGATTCGTGTGTCTTTGCTCTCTAAACACCATGAATTTAGACTCTATTTGCATTATAATAATTTTTATTAGATTTTCAATGATAATGTATTTATTTAAAAAAATTGCTGTAAATTTTTGTCATCAAAATACATAAAATAAAAGAATCGTTAACCCAAAATTTTAAATTTTAAAAATTTATTACAGAAATTTCATATTTATCATTTTTTGGTTTCACTAAATTATAATATTTAGCTTTCAATGGAAAAACAATTTTGTTTGCCTAATAATAATTTAAACTTTTACAGAGTAAAACTCCTATTATTTGAAATATGTTAAACTTATATTGTTACCAACTAGATATTAACTCGCGGGACAAACTTTTATCTATTTAATTTTAAATTTTTATTTATTTTTGAAATTAACTGATTATATCGGAGTTTATTTAATAAATACTAAGATTGCATATACCAAAACTTAACTAAATTAGTTTATTCGACATATTTTATATTGGTATTGTTAAAAATATTAAAATTAGGATTTAACCCATATACTTTAATATTTGGTAATATCGATTCAAATCCATCACATCATATAACCCATCATAGAATATAAGTCATCTATGTTATTTTAAACTTTTCATATATTTAAATATTCAAAATTTTATACTTTCTTTAAGTTAGATATATCAGTTATAATATTTTAAACTTCTTAAAAGTTTAAAGTGTACTATATGCAATAAAATTAAAAAATTTAACTTTAAAAACCAAACTAAATCATATGTAAAAATAAATTCTTATATATATATATATATATTAAAAAGAAGGATAGAAAAACATTTGTTAAATAACAGTATATATATATATACACATATGTATATGGATATATAAATGTTTGAGAGTGGATTAAGTTAAAAATATAGTTATGGTTAGATTGGGGAGAATAAGAGTAGAGCTAAAATATATGGTTTAAAGCGCATATATTATATAACAATAAGGGTAGTATGCTTTAAAACTTCCAAGGAAAAAAATATATTGAAGTCATGAGTTTAGATAGTCAGAAGATTTTATAAATAACAAAAAAGAGCTATACTAAAATGAACTAAGTAGAAAAAAAGAAGTCAAGTCCCACCCTAACACAATAACTTAATTAATAAGATTTTATCAAAACGTTGTAGGGGAAAAAATCCGAGCATCGGTAGCATTTAAAGTTAGAGAGCTATTAAATATATATATATATATATATAGTTTTGATAAATTACATATTTAAAAAGAAAGAAACTAAAGTTGTAGGTTTTTTTAGTTGTTTATTTAAATTGAATTATTTTCCGTGGTGATTTTCAACTTCAAGGAATTTTATCTATCATCAGTTAATAGATATACAAAAATATTGATATTTTAAATTTTTGATAAGTATTATTAGTCGCATAAAATTTTATTTTATTAAAAAAATCTAGAAATAACCCGCACCTATCGTTGATTTAGAACCTAGTAATTATAATTATTACATAAAATTATTATACAATTCAAGTATGGAGGTTAAGCAAAATTTTCAAATTAATGAAGATTCAATCTCGTAGAACTGTGTACTATATACATTGTTCGAGAAGACGACATCATCCTCGTGAACTCTTCCATGTTAACCAATCCATCACCATCTTCTTGCAAGCTTCCTCAGAAACCGACATAACACTTCCTATGCGCTTTTCTTCCGATCCCATCACCATTCAAATCAAAAGTCTAGAAAGCATTTCATATATCCCTAAACTTCTCATGTATATATGCATCAATAAACTCATAACCTTTTTACAAAGTCTGAGAGATTTTGCCGTCTTTATCCGAATCAAACCTGCTGAAAACGCGTCTCATCTCATTCATGTGAAGACATCAAGACAAGAGCCTGAGGATTCCCTAACATATCTTGTTCTTGGTGAGCTTGTGCGGCAACTCAATAAAGCTCACGTTTGACATATCTGATACTATATAACCAATCTTTTCTTATTAGGAAAAGTCTCTGTTAAGAAACCTTTTACGGTCCGAACATGTTCGTATTTTTGGGGTTATCAGTCACAAGACTAAGAATCTGACACCGTACTTACTTTGTTGAAATCATATCATTAATTAAAATAACATTGTTATCAAAAGCCATTCCACTTCTATCATATTTTATTTTTGTTACAGAGAACCAAAAATATTCAACCTTTCAAAACTAAGCTAACAAATAATTTCACAATTTAAGAACATGAAGATGTTGGAAAAGAACAGAGGGACAAATCTCATCCAGAAGAAACAATGGTCAATATTAAAGATATAATTGGATTAAGACAGAGAACTTAACTAAGAGAAACAACAAACCCAATGTTCTTGAGACCAAACAAAATGATGGATAGATGTATAAAGCTCCTTAAAGAGAGAAAACAGTGAAATATTGTGTAACGTTGACTTAAGAAAAAAAATTCATAGATAAGAGCACAAAATGAAACGCCCATTGCTTTCACCTAACTCCACATCTTCTTCTCCTTAGACTGATTCTGAATCTGATTCTAAATCTGATTCTGAATCTGATTCTCCTATACATTTAGGCTTACCCAGTAGAGGATAAAATGACTTGAGTAGTTCTAAATCATTAACATCAAGATCCTCTACGTGGTTTGCATAGGTGCAAACGCTACAACATTTGTTAGTAGCTTTACCAAAACCATGGATCTCAACACGTTGGAGGGTCTCTCTTTCAGGATTGAAGTAGAAAACGTAAAACGGTTTTTTAGGTGTATACTTGCGCATCGAAAACACTATTTCACCAGAAGCGGTCACTCCAGCTATGGAAACACAACGACGGGAGAATTCATCATCGGTCCAAGTGTAGGCATGTTTGGACCATTCTTGTTTCTCAACATCCTCTAGAATCCACACATGCAGCTCATTAGTGGCACCAACGTCGAGATTTTTCTCCAAATAAGTGTCGACATCCTCCCCCAAATAATAAAGCGCATGAACATCGACATCATCCTCCCAATAAATCACAGCTAATTTGCCCTTATAGTTTATCAATCGACAAAACCTTTCTACCTCAATAAAAGTGAATTTCTCAGACCTAGCATCAAAGCAAACTATCACATAATCATGAAAATTTGGATCACCAGCAAAACTAAAGACAACCGACTTGTCACCTAAGTAATACAAAACCCCATTGATACATACCCCTTCACTTCTAACATCATGTCCTAAGGAACATTTAACCTTTCTCCACTTCATATCTCCATCTCCAAATGAAAGAACTTTATCACGACCAGGACCAGATGGATAAGTTATGGACAAGGCCTTGTATTGCTTGTCAATCGGGTCAAACCCGAAAAAACTATACGCCTTTCTGTAAGTATACCGATTAGGTGTGATCGCATACCGTCCTGTGATTGGGTTACATATCAGAGGTCGACCCTGGTATCTACTACCATGGATATAAAACAAGCCAGAGGCGTAGCCACATGAAAAAAATTTTAGGTCGAAAAAATGATTGATCATTAAATTGTCTGGTGAGAACTTCACATGAAATTCGGCGGCTGCTACAAGAGTCGATGAAGATTTCTCATATGGATTCTCAAGCTGAGGTAACGAGAAGAAGCTCCACACACCACAGCCACCTTCTGCGTTTTCGCCCCTGTTGCTGTTCTCTGCGATGGCGAATAAGAGACGTGGATTAGCCGAGGACCTGGTCAAGAACAACTCCTTGAAATATGGACTACCAAACATTGATGCCCATTGCTTTGACACGCAACGAAACCTCGCCACTGACTTTGAAGGCAACCTCGACAAGATTTCGAGGATGAGATCATTAGTCGATGATATGGGACATGCTGATCTCATGATTGCCGATCAAACGAAGAAAGAGAGATGTTAAAAACTTTGACCTAGCAAGGTGTATTAAGACAGACGTAGAGAAACCTAGCAAGAGACCTAGCTACCATTATGTATCGTGAATATATATGTAAATATGTTATGATTTTAGTCGGTTAATAAGAAAAACAAAAAAAGGGTTAATGTGACGTCTAAATGGGCCGCAAGGTTATTTGTTTCGGAGTAATCAATAATTTCGTTTCTTGTGTCTCAAACAAGTAATAAGCAGGTTCACGAGTAAAGTAGCATTTGCTAAGGAATCAAATTCTAGTCTAATGATTCAACTCTTTCTCGCTCAGTTGCCATAATGCAAAATGAATTCACATTTGCTCTCTATTGCAACCATACATGTTCAAAGAATCAAAAGTTATTTTTGGGTCTTGCTTGCATCTCCTTAATTAGAGGCCAAGAAATTAAGATTAATTCAAACCAAAGTTCTTATTGTGCATTGCATCAAACGTTTCTAGATATGACCAGCCTAATTGCATTTAATTAGTTGACTTTTTTTTTTTTTTAGGATATTCATACATATAACATACATATAACGATTTTAATAATTGGTCCCAACATATTAAGCTACAAGAAGCAAAGTTATTAAGTTAAGATGCCAAGTGTACTTAAACCCAATCTAAAGCCATAACATAAAACTTAAGACAATACCAATTAAACACAACGTACTTTTATTACTTAGGACATGAATTTTTTAGTACATATAAAAAAACACAACGTTATTTTTTGTTTCCTTTTCGTGTAGTGCTTATTTAAAAAGTAAGACAAAAAATTCCTACAGCTTTGTCTAACCTTACTTCACCTTTTAAATCAGTTATATTCGCTAAGTTTATTTGTTTTATTTTCAATTTTGATAAATTTGGAATAACTTTTTTCTAATTATTACGTTTGCAAATTATTGAAAATGATCTTATAAAAGACGTTAAGTTGGACTTGGAAAATATGGAAATAATGGAAATATCCTATAAACTTATAATATCTTGCGGCGCCAATAAATAATTATATAAGTATCTAGCTTGGAAAACATCAACAAATCCCATTGAATAACATAAAATCAGTGTGGACCACAAAGAGAGTTCGATGCTAAGTCCAGTTTGTTTTCAACATATTTAAATTGAACACTTTGATTTTTTAAAATTTTTTAAAAATAAAATTTTTTGTATGTTGTTGTTAAAAATCAAAACTTTACTTCAAAATTATAACTTTACTTAAATTATAAAAAACTTTAAAACTAAGCGTTAATTTTTTACAATACGTGATAGCATGTTGAACTTATACACCACTGACGGACCACAATAGGACTGGATGCTCGGCCCAATTTTGTTTTCAACGTAGTAAAATTTAACACTTAGATTTAAACCCAAAAAAAAAAAAAAAAATTTGCTTGAAATTTGATTTAAAAACCTTGATATTTAGTTGTAAATCAGGAAAATAGAAATGAAAAAACATAAAATCTTTTCTTCTTAATGTATATTTTTAAATCAAAATCAGTTGTTCTTAATTTTATTTATTTATTTTAAAGTTAGAAAAGTTAAAATATACCTGTAATATTTAAGTATTCTGAGGGCTGAGGCGACTCAGTCAGTGGTCGTTTCTGAATTTTGCTACACATAATACAAAAAACAAACCCATTAGCGATATCATAATCGTCAAAAACTAAATTATTTTGATAAATCTAAAGAAAAATATTACGAACCTCCTAATACCTCTGTTCCTCTCTTCAATATATATACCATCTTATAAATAATTCTCCTAGCTAGTCTCTAATGACTGAAGAAAACAGAGGATCGATGGAGATCATTATAAAAGATATTCATCGAGCCTTGAGTCACCATCGAACATTGACTCTCCACCCTGAAACTAAAACATAATCAAGTACAAATCTTCATTATCAAAAACTACTGAGTACACAAAATCATACACTCAGTTCAAAACAAAGAGATGAATAATACATATATAATACGTGAATCACAAGGCTATAACTTGTTTGATGATGAACTAAAAAGTACACAAAATGGCTTGCATTTGCATCGATCAAACATCGTATATGCATATACACACACCTATGAGATTCAGTTCTGTAAGTTGCAGACATGTAATAATAATTCTATATGTGGTCGAGAAACAACATGAGCTCAGTAGTAATAAAATAAAACAAATGCCAATGGAAACTCGCATATCAAATCAGTATACCTTAGGTTATACCTGCAAAGACAATGTATATATACTAATAACCAAAATCAAAAACAAGAGAACAAACAACAGAGAAGTAGAAACTAATAGCTCACCAAGAACAAACATACCTCCTCCTATCAAAAGGTCTGGTGGATTTGTAATAGTTAAGCAAAAGAGGAATTCTAACAGTGGAATACACAAAAAATCATATAAGAAGGGAGATATAAAAGAGACAAGAGAGAACCACGAATACTCATTACAAAACCAAAGAGAGGAAATACTAACCAAACACGTGAATCATAAGACCAATATGATTGATGAACAGAATAGTTTCACACATTGGCTTGCATCAATCGCTTATGAGATTGTAAAACCAAACAAACTGTATCAATCGTATAGACATTGGACACAAATCAGTTCAAATTGGATAAAAATTCTCAACTTCTAAGAGACAAGACATCAAAAACAAGACCATATGCAGACAGAAGAACAAGAAGAGATAGAGCGGTACCGTGAAGGGAAAAGAGGAAGCAAGAGCACCACTGATACGGAGCGGAAACTAAGTAACGAAATCAAAGATGTATTCTCCAGGAGAAGACAAGTTTGAAGTCGGATCTTACTTGTAACGTCGTTACTTGACGCAAAAGTAATAGATAGATGTGAATCCTCTTCACAGGGCTAAAAGCTCTTGACTAAAAGTTCTCAAAATATATCGTGATTACAATGAATAAAGAGTTTCCTATTTAAAGCCTACTTAATAATCCTAACTACCCAAGATATTGTTTATCTTAAACAACAAGAAAAGAACTCAAACTTATCCTAATGAATAAAAGAATAAAATCCAAAACAAGAAGATTATGTAATCGTTGAGAACACTCGTGTATGCTACATCAGGTCTCTCCGGGTTAGAAAGGATTCGACCTCGAATCCGGCGGGAGATTATCACCACGAAAGGGAGAGAGGTACTTGACATTAAACACATTAGACGTCCGCAAATGGTCAGGGAGTCGAACACGGTAGGCATTGGGATTAATACATTCTAACACCTCTACCGGACCAATTTTCCTGGACTTCAGCTTGTTGTACTCACGGAGAGGAAGCCTGTCTTTAGTCAGCACCACCCAAACAAGATCACCAGGACTGAAAAGGAGTTCACGACGCTTGAGGTCAGCAGCAGCTTTATACTTCGCCGTAGCACGCTCCAAGTTCGCCCGAGCTTGAGTATGCACCACCTGTAAGTCATCAAAAAAATCAACAGCAGACCCGTGATGACGAGTGCGATCAGGGAGGGCAGTCAAATCCAAAGGGCCGCGAGGAACCAGGCCATAAACGACTTGAAATGGACTGAACCCAGTACTGCGGTTAAGAGCATGGTTATGAGCAAACTCTGCTTGACATAACTTAGTATCCCAGCTCTTGATATGATCACCAACCAAGCACCTTAAAAGATCACCAAGACTCCGATTTGTGACTTCAGTTTGACCGTCCGTCTGTGGATGATATGCCGTACTCATGTCAAGGCTAGTACCCAATAACTTCCACAATGACCTCCAAAAATGGCTGAGAAACCGTGTGTCACGGTCGGAGACAATAGAAGATGGAAGCCCATGAAGACGATAGATCTCCCGAAAATATAAAACAGCCACTGACACGGCATCCGTCGTCTTCTTACAAGGAAGAAAGTGCGCCATTTTTGAAAAACGGTCAACCACAACAAAAATAGAATCATTGCCTTTTTGAGTCCGAGGAAGGCCAAGGACAAAGTCCATGCTCACCTCAGTCCAAGGTTGTGTGGGAATAGGGAGAGGCAAATAAAGACCCGCATTAGATGCTTTGCCTTTCGCTTGCTGACAAATGCGACAACGTTCGACAAAACGTTCAACATCACGCCGAAGTGTTGGCCAGAAATACGCCGCCGTAACCAGCTGGAGAGTACGATCTCTACCCACATGCCCCTCATTGTGTAATTCACAAATAATCTTGAGCCGCAAGCTACAGTCGGGAACACATAACCGCACGCCACGCAAAAGGAAGTCATCTTGAAGAGTGTAGTCGTCACTTGCACCAAGCTTGACATCGTTCAGAATACGACTAAAGAACGGGTCTGTGGCGTACAACTCGGAGAAAGTAGTGAAGCCTGAGACGGAAGTATGCATTGTCGTGAGTAAGGTATGCCGTCTACTTAGTGCATCAGCGACGCGGTTTGACTTGCCGGATGTATGGCGGATCGAGAAAGTGAATTGTTGCAAGAAAGCGATCCACGAGGCGTGACGAGCGGAGACCTTGGCTTGGCTGTCGAGATGACGCAACGCATCGTGGTCAGTGAACAAGACAAACTCTCTGTGGACGAGATAGTGGCGCCAATGTTTTATCGCCTGTACAATGGCGTAAAACTCTATGTCGTAAGTGCTATACCGGATGCGAGAACCCGACAATTTCTCGCTGTAGTACGCCACGGGTCGACCTAATTGGCTTAGGACTGCGCCGATGCCCAGCTTCGAAGCATCACTGTGTAGCTCAAATGTGGTAGAGAAGTCTGGTAACACCAAGATAGGGGTTGTGGTTAACTTCTTCTTAATGAGCTCAAAGGCCACGGATGCTTCTACTGTCCAACGAAATTTTCCGTCCTTCATGCAGCTTGTTATCGGAGCCATTATAGTGCTAAAATGATTAACAAAACGTCGATAAAAAGATGCCAGCCCATGAAAGCTTCTCACCTCTGTCACGGTTTGTGGAGTAGGCCAAGAACGCACTGCTTCGATTTTGGAATCATCAACGGCTAAACCTTTGTCGGACACAACATAGCCAAGAAATAGAACCTTAGAAACACCGAATTCACACTTTTGCCGTGCAGCAAAAAATTGTTCCTGTCGAAGGACAAGCAAGACAGAACGTAGGTGATCCGAATGCGCTGCCACCGTTGGACTGAAAATCAAGATATCGTCAAAATACACAACCACACATTTGCCTATGAATGGACGCAAAGCTTGATTCATTATTCTCATAAATGTGCTGGGGGCATTTGACAAACCAAATGGCATGACTAGCCATTCATAAAGACCTTCCCGAGTCTTGAATGCCGTTTTCCACTCATCACCGGGGCGAATTCGAATTTGGTGATAACCACTTTTCAAGTCAATCTTGGAAAAGACTTTAGCTGCACCAATTTGGTCCAATAAATCATCAAGGCGTGGGATTGGAAACCTATAACGGACCGTAATCTTGTTGATCGCTCGGCTATCCACACACATTCTCCACGACCCGTCCTTCTTGGGAATAAGCAATGCGGGTACAACACAAGGGCTGAGGCTCTCACGTATGTGTCCCTTTTTCAACAAATCTTCTACCTGACGCCGGAGTTCCTCATGTTCACTTGGGCTCATCCGATAATGTGGTCTGTTAGGCAACGTGGCGCCTGGAGTGAGATCAATATGGTGCTGAATGTCACGAAGTGGAGGCAGACCCATCGGGAGCTCACCCGGAAAAATATCGGGGAAGTCGTTCAAGACTGCTAGTAGTTCAGAACAAGGAGCAGCGGTGAAGACTGGAACGGATGCAACCGGCAGCAAAGCAAAAGCAAACCTCTCCTCTCGTAGTTCAGCAGCAAAGGCGGTGTAGGAACAGAGCAAAGTTGTTTTCTTTTCCTGTGGTGGTGGTGGAAGCGAGGGCAACGGCGTTGGAACCGGCATTGGCAGTGGAGGATCACGGGTAGGAAGAAGGACAATCTGGTGCGTCTCCCATGTAAAACTATAAGTGTTTAAAACACCATCATGGGTTATCTTGCGATCAAACTCCCATGGACGACCAAGCAGCAGGTGACTCACATCCATTGGTGCGATATCACAATACGTCCGATCCCTGTAATGTTGCCCAATCGAAAAAGAAACCAACGTACGCTCAGCTATCTGCATTTCCACACCTTCTTGAAGCCAGCCTAACGCATACGGAGATGGATGTTTCTCACGTGTCAAACCCAGCTTGTTGACAACCTCCTCTGCAATGACGTTCCGTGAACTCCCAGAATCAATAATAAAACTGCAAATTCGCCCACGGATAGTACATGTCGAGCGAAAAATATTGGTGCGCAGCCATTGGTTGTCTTGACGCCGTGGAAGAACACACGCACGAGTTAAGATCAGAGCACGGCCGGTATCACCATGAGTCAACAGGGCAGACTCATGAGGAAGCTCTTCTTCTTCATCCCAAGAGTCATACACGGGTTCCTTATCAGCCGTGATATCTTCGATCAACAACCCACGCCGCGGTTGATGAGGACAAGAAGTCTGACGATGCCCAGGCTCCCCACACGCATAGCAGCGAAGAGCATTAGGTCGCGACGAACGACGCAGTGGTTGCTCCTCTGCTCCCCCGGTCTGCTTGGCCAACGGAGCATTGACATCGGTATTGTCTTTCTGTGGTTGAACCGTCACACTTGGCGAGTGATTCGTGGTTCTAGCACGGTTAGACGACCATGTCGTAGAGCGAAACTGGTGCTCAAAAGTAGAAGCACGCCGGTGAGCTTCAGCAATGGTCACTGGATCAAACTGAGCCAAGGCTGTTTGAAGTTGTGGACGAAGACCACCAATAAAGCGAGAGACCAACTGATCCTCACTATCAAAGACCTCTGTGCGAGTGAGAAGTAAGGCGAATTCTTTAGCGTATTCTTCCACAGATCTCGAACCCTGCTTGATGTTCTGAAGACGATTGTACACCGTGCGATCATAGTTATGAGGGAGAAAGTTGTTGAGAAGATGCTTTTTCAACTTTTCCCAAGTATGAATCGGCTCCCGTCCAGTACGAGCCCTTGTGATCTTCACCTGCTGCCACCACGATGCTGCATGACCCCTGAATCGAGTAGCAACCAAAGGAACACAACGATCCGCTGGCACTTGTTTGAATTCTAATATCTCCTCCACAGAAACAAGCCAATCGAGAAGAACATCACCACGCATGCCACCATGGAACTCTGGGATCTCCACCCGGAAACCTGCTTCCCAGCGATTGTCATGGCCGTAACCCACAACACCTCGCTCCCCACGACGCGGCTGAAGGCGATCATCATCTCCGCCCTGCGGGTGACGAGCAAAGGGATTGTCGTCAACGCCCAGGTCTTCATCCCTCTCTTCGAACAAGGGATTTTGTCTACCCAACTGCGAACGCAGTGCTTCACCCAATTCATGAATTGACGCATGAATCGTACTCTGGATGTTCTCCTGCATCGCCAACAAAGTCTGACGCAACTCGGTCCACTCTGAATTCTTAGGAGGCATCGTTGAAACGGACGATTCTGCGACAGGAACTTACTGAATCTGATACCAACTGATACGGAGCGGAAACTAAGTAACGAAATCAAAGATGTATTCTCCAGGAGAAGACAAGTTTGAAGTCGGATCTTACTTGTAACGTCGTTACTTGACGCAAAAGTAATAGATAGATGTGAATCCTCTTCACAGGGCTAAAAGCTCTTGACTAAAAGTTCTCAAAATATATCGTGATTACAATGAATAAAGAGTTTCCTATTTAAAGCCTACTTAATAATCCTAACTACCCAAGATATTGTTTATCTTAAACAACAAGAAAAGAACTCAAACTTATCCTAATGAATAAAAGAATAAAATCCAAAACAAGAAGATTATGTAATCGTTGAGAACACTCGTGTATGCTACATCAACCACCATGAGGACAAAGCAGAGGTTAGATCCCAAAGACGAAGCAGAAGAAGAGGAACCAAAAGCAGAGGTTAGATCCCAAGACGAAGCAGAAGAAGAGGAACAAAAAGCAGAGGTTAGATCGCCACCATGTCTCAAGCCGCAGCACCCTTTGATCGCCGTGTTGCATATCTCGATCATCAATGAGAGGAAAGCTATAAAGGTAGAAGCTTTTTCACCGACGATGAATCAGAGAATCGAAGAGGGAAGAACTAAAGAGATTGATTTGTAGGGTTTAGAAGAAGAAGTGAGAAACAGAGAATTTTGATTTCTCGATCAAAGAAGAAGCATTGAGTTGAGAGAAAAAAGTATATTTTAATATTTAAAAGCAAAATTAATTAAGAGGTTAATTAAAAGAAAAGGAAATTGATAATTATATCTCAATCATAACGGTTATATTAATATGAGTTTTAGGAAATCAATACGAGATTTTGTTTCTTACCAAAAAAAAAACGTACACTAATATGAGATTTTGTTTTTCTTCATCACAACGGTATTATTACATTTATTATACAACGGTCATCTTTCCTAATTTCAACATTTTTTAACCTTGTTAAATTTAATATAGAATTTAGGAAAAAGGATATATTTTAAAACAGTTGTCAATTATACTATTAATTCACTGAAAAATCCTAGAACTATTTTATTGACCTATTTTTGAGGAGTTATTTTAGGATATTCATACATACATACATATAACGATTTTAATAGTTGGTCCCAAGTCCCAAAATATTAAGCGACAGAGATACATTCAATAGACAAGAAGCAAAGTTAAGATGCCAACTAAAACCCAATCTAAAGCCATAACCTAAAACTTAAGACAATACCAATTAAAAACACAACGTACTTTTATTTAGTAACTTATTCTCCAAGACACCCTCATCACATCCATCATCATTAGGGTTTCGAGACAACTAGATTTTGTTAGAATTTTAATTCAAATTTGCATTAAGTTCTTATGCACTTCTTGAGTCGCCATTTTGATAATCGCAGCTGGTTAATCATGAACCAAGTGTCTACGTACGTACGTTCTCAACATAAGCATTGTCTCACATTTCTTTTTGGTGGTGAGATCCTTTGATTGAGAGAAGACATTTTGTGTTTGCCCACCAAATTAGGCAAAACGAAAAACCTCAAAATCATTATCAATCTATCCAACTGATTAATGAAGCAAAATCTCATTTACCCACAATTAGTTTGGCTCTTCCTCCAAATTTACAAATTTGTAATCTCGAGTTCCCCTTGTAAGTTCCTTGACAGAGCAGACGAGCTGGAACTGGAAGGGCAAGACTGAAATTGGGTTCCCCGTGAAAAAAGACATTCCAAAGAGCAAACGCGTTGAGAAAGTTCCTTAGAATGACTCTCCAAAAAGGCAGGGAATGTGCAACGAAGTTTACAAATGCTACAAAAAGGTCGAGTCATACTACTGTTGGGAATTGCTCCACCTTGAAAGTATCCCTTCTCAGTCCATGGTGTTGCCTTTTGCAAAACTTTAAAAAAAAAAAAACAAATTTAAAAAAAAATTGACTAGGCTACAAGAAACATGGTAAAATCCTACTAATTTTTATACGAAAAATGTGGTAGGAAATATACCTGAAATGTCCCTCACGTAATAGTAAGAGTGTTTGCGATATGAGTAATTTATTGGCTTGAGATAATATAAGTCACCAAGAACACATTTAATATGGAGAGTGACTCCACAATCTGCACACGTATAGAACCATACCTTTGGATCTGTCTTTGTCTCGCATATATCACACCACAGTTCACCGGTACCATTGTTGCCACCAAGACATAAAGACAGAAAATGATCATCACACCTGTGTTTTACCTTAGCGGGTAAAGTTGCACAGTTTATGTCCAAAGCGAAATCACAAACGATACAGCTTAACACATTAGGTGAGTGTAAGCCACATGCCACACAGGACTTGGACTCCTCCAAGGTGAGGTATAATGGATGAAAGAAATCGCATTGCACGCATTTGTAGTACATATCATCGTAGATGGGAAGGAAGCACGCAAAACAGTGAATCATCTTGGAATCAACAACTCTATCTTCACAGAGTATAAGATTGTGTTGTTCATGACTAAAATGAATGATTTCCTTTTCACCGTTTATTTCCTCGTATGGATCTTTGATTTTTTCCTCTTTTTCAGGCACATCTTCGAGTTCTTTCATATCCCATACTTTAAATTTCGTTGCACATTTTGAATGAACAGCATAGTTTGGACAACGCTTGCAATAAAAGGCTCCAATACTCCAATCTATCTTTTTGCGACAAACTCCGCATGGTTCCCAATTTCCCCGACCGAGATGATAGGTGAGAGAAATGCGATGGTCATGCCTGTTGATGTTTATGATTCGCGGTAGATCAATGCAATCTCTGTGGATCATTAAATTGCATTCAATGCAAACATAGGGATTACACTCTCCAACCAAACCACATGCATTACAAATGAATGAGATCTGTCTTGGCAATAGGATGAATGGATGCTTGTGGCTCCTCCCATCAAAAACAGAACATCTACCGTTGATCTTGCAATATTCGTCGATGCTGAAGTCGCAAATGGAACAATGATAGAACGCTTTCGAGGGGATTTCTCCACACAAATGACATTTTCCATTAGTATAGTCGAGTGTTTCAGGAGATACCTTCCTGAGGTGGTGGTTAGAGTGACCGGCAAATTTGAGTGACCACTCGATGCATTCCTCGTGCGCCTGTAAGTTGCATCGCTTGCAGGCTAGACCGACTCCTTCTGTTCCACCGCAACCATCACAAGATGGTTTATCTTCAACCCCAAATGTCACTCTAGATAGATTATGGTCGAGACAAGGCATCTCTACTACTTTACCCATAGCCATATTAGCTGTGTGGTGATGAGGAATCTCAAGAGCTTATATTGCGCTTGAAGCTTTTGAAACATGTGTTAATGTTTTAATTTAGTACATGAGTGGCCGACAAAACTAGCTCATTGATGTAAAAACCAATGCAACGTGTATGCCCCTATTTTCAAATTAGGTAATGTTAATAAATTAGAGACTTAACTCATTCATTATGTTTGATTATACATGTACATTATAGTATTATATTTGATAGCATGTTAGGTTATTCTCTTTTATCGTGAGTCGTGATTCGAAAAAAAATTATCCAACGACCTGATCCAAGTTGATTGGCAATAGTAGTCTAACAAAACTATTTTATGTGGTGTGAACGTTTTAGTCTAACCCACTAGATCCCTACGTTTTGAACGTTGGTATGTAAGCCCTTAACCAAGTGTCTACGTACGTACGTTCTCAACATAAGCATTGTCTCACATTTCTTTTTGGTAGTGAGAGAACCTTTGATTGAGAGAAGACATTGTGTGTTTGCCCACAAAATTAGGGCTCTTCAAACAAAAAACCTTAAAATTAGAAAATTCAACGAAACAACCAAAACCAAAACGAAAGGATTAAATAAAAGAAATAAAAAAGGGAGAGTTATTAATTTACAAAAATAAAAGTGAAAAAATCTCAAATTAAGATGCGTGAATTTCTCTGAAACCTTATGTTTCTCTACCAAACATTCTCTTAATTCATTTTCTTAAAAAGTCTATTATTTGACTTCTCCTTATTTTTATAATTCCTTCGACAAGGAAAGTGATCCCTTTGGTTGGGTTTAAAAAACTATAACAAAAACAAGAAAAAAAGAAGAAAAATAGTGAAATGAGAATACATTCTTATGATAATTCATGGCTTTTATTAGCCATTCTCGTGATTCTCCTCTCCTTCTCTGGAGCTCTCTCGAGCAATGACAAAGAGAAAGAGAAGAAGTCGTCGACGGTCGATAAAAAGAAAGAAGTAACTTATGATGGAACGTCTTTGATCGTCAATGGAAATAGAGAACTCCTTTACTCTGGCTCCATCCATTACCCTCGTAGCACTCCTGAAGTAAGTTACTAATACAATTCTTGGTTATAGTTTTTTCATCTTTTTTACTTTTTTGACTTAGTTTTTGAGAATTTTGTTTAGATGTGGCCAAACATCATCAAGAGAGCAAAACAAGGTGGGTTAAACACAATTCAGACGTATACTTTTTGGAACGTGCATGAGCCTGAGCAAGGAAAGGTAATTTAAAATTTTGACAAAGATAACAAAAACACACATAAAGATTCATCTCATTGTTTTGAGGAAATTTTATTTTGTTGTTGTTGGGACAGTTCAATTTTTCGGGTAGAGCCGATTTGGTGAAGTTTATAAAACTGATTGAGAAGAATGGTATGTATGTAACATTGAGGCTTGGACCTTTTATTCAAGCTGAATGGACTCATGGGTATGTTTTATATGTTATGTCATTTTTTTATTCTCTCAAAATGCTAATAAAAGTCTCTTGTATATGTGACATATATGTTTCTTTGTTATGGTTATGATGAAAACATCAGAGGACTTCCTTACTGGCTGAGAGAAGTTCCCGGGATCTTCTTCCGTACCGATAATGAACCTTTCAAGGTATCTTGTTTTACACATATGTGTATGTATGATATTTAGATATGTGTGTGACGAGAGGAACAATTAAAGAAAATGGAGAAAACTATTTGGTTTGTAGGAACATACAGAGAGGTATGTTAGGATGATACTTGACAAGATGAAGGAGGAGAAGCTTTTTGCTTCACAAGGAGGTCCCATTATACTAGGACAGGTAACATTGACAAAAGAAAAACATAAAGATCAAAAACTTAAAAACACATTTGTAAAATATGAATCATAAAAGTTTTGAAATTTTTTTTGTAAATTGGATTCAGATAGAGAATGAGTATAGTGCGGTTCAACGAGCATATAAAGAAGATGGGTTAAACTACATCAAGTGGGCATCTAAATTGGTACACTCGATGGATTTAGGGATCCCATGGGTTATGTGTAAGCAAAATGATGCTCCTGATCCTATGGTAAGTCGTCTTTTATAACACATATTCATGACTATAAAGATATAAATCACAAAATGTTAAATCAAGAACTTCAATGATATTAACAGATCAACGCTTGTAATGGACGACATTGCGGTGATACATTCCCTGGTCCAAACAAAGACAACAAGCCATCTATGTGGACAGAGAACTGGACTACTCAGTGAGTTCTTCACTTGAACTCCTCTATTAGTATCTTCTTGAAACAAAAAGAGAATTAATCTCTTGTAATTTTGATTGTAGGTTCCGCGTTTTTGGCGATCCCCCAACACAAAGATCTGCAGAAGATATAGCCTACTCTGTTGCTAGGTTTTTCTCCAAGAATGGAACCCATGTTAACTACTATATGGTAAGGGACCGAAAAACCGAATCGAAAAAGAGATATATATGTTTAAGGATGTTGTCCAATTTTTGCTTTCCTATAGTATCATGGAGGTACCAACTTTGGAAGAACCTCTGCACATTATGTGACCACTCGTTACTACGATGATGCACCTCTTGATGAATACGGTAAAACTAGAATGAAAAAAAACTTATAGCATATGATCGTTGTGAATGCATAAAATCGAATATACATATGATCATTTTCCCTTTTTGTTGGATACAGGATTGGAAAAGGAGCCTAAGTACGGTCATCTAAAGCATCTTCACAACGCGCTTAACTTGTGCAAGAAGGCACTTCTTTGGGGACAGTCTCGAGTCGAGAAGCCTAACAATGAAACAGAGGTAATTTCTTCAATATGCATCATTGAAGTTTTAAATCTTTCTGAGAAAATATACATAGAAAGAATCAGTTTCTTGATTTTAACTTATGTATTTTTGTAATCGCAGATTCGATACTACGAGCAGCCTGGAACTAAAGTTTGTGCAGCTTTTCTGGCTAACAATAACACAGAAGCAGCAGAAACCATCAAATTTAAGGGAAAGGAATATGTTATTCCACCTCGCTCCATCAGTATTCTCCCTGACTGCAAAACCGTTGTTTATAACACCGCGGAGGTGATGATAAATTCAAAATCTTGTCACAAATTCATCTAAGAGAAAAATAAATGAATCATGAATTTTTAGTTTATTTTGGTTGCTATTGTTTTTCAGATCGTCTCTCAGCATACTTCAAGAAACTTCATGAAGTCGAAAAAAGCGAATAAGAAGTTTGATTTCAAAGTGTTCACGGAGACAGTGCCGAGTAAGATTAAAGGTGACTCTTATGTACCCGCTGAGCTCTACGGTTTGACCAAAGACGAGACTGATTACGCATGGTACACAACAAGGTATGTAAGGATATAATTGTGAGTATATGTATACCTATGAAATGAAAAAATCTTCTAGACACATTTAGAAACATCAAATACCTATTTGTTTAATCTTCCATGCAGCTTTAAAGTAGATGATAGTGACCTTTCTAAGACGAAAGGTAAGCCTACGGTGAGGATCGCTAGTCTTGGCCACGCGTTGCATGTATGGCTCAATGGAGAATACCTTGGTAAGATTGAGAACCATTGATGGGGTAAAACATTTTGATGTTTTTACAAAAACTTGACCTAATTAATGAAGTTGTTCAGGAAGTGGACATGGTAGCCATGAAGAGAAGAGTTTCGTCTTTCAGAAACCAGTTTCTCTAAAAGAAGGAGAGAACCACCTCACCATGCTAGGAGTTTTAACTGGATTTCCAGTAAGAAACACTTTAAAAATGATTTCATATATAATAACGAAAACATGTAAGTTTTGATGATGAGATATGTGAATGTTTTGTATCAACAGGATAGTGGATCTTATATGGAGCATAGATACACAGGTCCTCGTAGTGTTTCTATCGTAGGTTTGAGCTCTGGACCACTTGATCTCACTGAAGAAAACACATGGGGAAACAAGGTTTGTCATGAATCTTAATTACAATCTCGATTGTCGTGGAGATTTTTGATCTGATTTTCCAAATTTTTAGGTGGGTATGGAAGGTGAAAAGCTCGGAATCCACGCCAAGGAAGGATTGGAGAAGGTTAAATGGGAGAAACTCTCAGGAAAAGCACCGGGACTTACATGGTACCAGGTGGGAAAAAAACTCATAACTCTCAGCAAGGTAACTTGAGGAACAAGAATTGTAACCTAATGAACAATGTTTGAGATATTATTGCAGACATACTTTGATGCGCCAGAGAGCCAAAGTGCAGCAGCAATTAGGATGAATGGAATGGGGAAAGGTTTGATTTGGGTGAATGGACAAGGTGTTGGTCGATATTGGATGTCGTTTTTGTCGCCATTAGGACAACCTACCCAAATTGAGTATCACATCCCTAGGTCTTTCTTAAAGCCCAAGAAAAACCTTCTGGTTATATTCGAGGAAGAACCGAATGTAAAGCCAGAGCTTATCGATTTTGTTATCATCAATAGAGACACGGTATGTTCTTACATTGGAGAAAACTACACTCCTAGTGTCCGACACTGGACCAAGAAGAAGGACCAGCTCCAAGCCATCACCGATGACGTGCATCTCACGGCTAGTCTCAAATGTTCCGGCACAAAGAAGATTACCACTGTGGAATTCGCTAGCTTCGGAAATCCCAATGGAACTTGTGGAAACTTCACTCTTGGAAGTTGTAATGCTCCTGTCTCTAAGCAAGTGGTCGAGAAGGTAAAAATACAAACTTGGCTTATGTTTATACCTAATGTTACATGAGGAGACTTAACGCAAACTTTTGTTTTTCGTTTTTGCAGTACTGTTTGGGCAAAGCAGAGTGTTTGATTCCGGTGAACAAGAATACATTCCAGCAAGATAAAAAGGATTCATGTCCCAAAGTTGCGAAGAAGCTTGCTGTACAAGTCAAGTGTGGCCGTGACAAGAAGAACTAAGGATTCGTTGAACGGTTTTATACATTATGTAATTATGTTTAGTAGATATACGTAAATAATGCATTGATTTGTTGTACCAATTTTTGAATTTGTAAAAAAATGTTTTGCTGTTAAAAAGAAAATTAAGGATTAAAAAGTTATATCATAAGAAAATTAAACGATAATGCAGAGATATAAGAAGGAGAATCGTTTCTTCTTTCTATTTTATTTACTTGATCCTTTTGCGAATTTCGTAGAAGTAGCCTAAGGCCACCACAGCAGCAGCGACTGCAACCCCGACTGCACTATGTGCCAGCACCGTGCTGTTGTCTGTTATCACCTTAGTGACTGAAGATGTTGGTGTGAACCCGAGCTCTGAGAGTTTCTTGTGTGACTCTGCATAGTCTCTGAAGAATGCATCTTCGTCCTGTTGAGAGGCAAAAGTTAGAAATCAAGATGCAACTGCATCATAATCTTAGCTTGTAGTCGATGCAGCTTGCACGCGAATTGATACTTGAATCGGATTTTTGGATCAGAGTAAAGATAGACTCCCATAATTATACCTTTGCGTAAAGCTCGACGTAATGACGAAACTCAGGGACTTCCAACAATGTCTTGTCCGTTGAAAGTTTTAGCAAGCCCTCTGTCTCTTCTTCTTTCAGCAATTCCCTGTAGTACCAACAATGACCATGGTTTAAACATCAGTGAACAAAACAACTAGTTGTTTTCTCCAACCAAACAAAATCTGTCAGAGGATCTTACACAAAGTATGAGTTATCAAACTTTAGAGGATCTTGAGTCCATGGTCCATCAAAACCAGATCTCTCTGGATGAGCCCTTCCCTACATATTGTAATCTAATTAAAATCTGCATATGTAACTTATATATTAAATACCAAACAAAAAATGTGAATCGTGAAATCAAGTATTTACCAGAGTATGAGCTCCTGAGAGTGCCACAATATCTTTATCAGACAGTCCCATCCGGTAGAAGACATCTTTGAGATGTTTGAAACCTACATGCAAAATAGCAGACATAACTTCAAACCCTCATTAAGGAAGATAACATTCAAAATGAATGTTTGTTGAACATCGTGCAAACTCCATGACCCTCCAACCTTGATGAGCATCAGGAAGTCTTCCTTCGTCAGTGCAGGCGTTTGAATCCTATAAGAGAGAAACATACAGCTAATTTATAGTTAATTGCTTATGATAGTAAGTTGTAATACCATTTATCTTAATGGCAATGACAATATTACTTTTCGGCCAGGAACAAAACTGATGTCAGGGCCACCAGTAACTTCAACCGCTACCACACCAGCAAGCTGAAAATGACCGAATCAAATTCATGTGAATATGACTGAGATCCGAAAGTTGCTTGCATAAGATATAGCACCATGCTTGTAAACACTTGTTTTGGGATATTCACAGCTATAGCCTTAACATTATGATGCCAAAGGAAGAAAAGGTGGTACAATACATGAGATGTTCAGTCTTAGAAAATGTGATATAGGTGTAAAAGCAAAAACATGTAAGCCTAGTAAGTCCAGGGCTAAATAGAACACCACTGATGAGTGAATAGTTTAAGGAGACCAATTGAAATGTTAATGCAGTTTTACTGACACAGCCAAATTTAGGAATGTTTTCACACTGCAAATAACACAAATATTTTCAATCCTGAAGCACAACTGTCAATTTCCCCTGTTTCTACACACCGAGGACCGCAATCACACAACTCAACCAACTTAATCTAGCATCTTGATGAGTTTACACAATAGTCAATTCCCCTGTCTCTACACCATAAGTCATACTTATACGACTATGCAATCATAAACAAAAGCAAAACTCGTTTTTAATTACCTGGTATAGGTCCGCATAACTGATGTTGGGATGTTTAGTTTTCACTTCCTCTGAAACAGCAAAAAAATCAACATCAGAATCATAAGAAAACAGTCATCTTATGACAAATTGATACATCAACACCACATAGTCATCTCAAGGTCAGTGTATACAACGATTATGTCTATACTTAGCAAGATTTCAAAAACCATATGATATATTACGTTCCGAGCTAAGTAAACAGAATCCCTAAAACGAAGAACTCAATCAAATACTCAAATCTCAACTCCAATCCTTAATCCACCACAGAGTTGGAAAAACGAAAAAAAAAAACGCACCACAGAGATCAAGAGCAATCTTCAAACCACTATTAGCACCATGACTATACTCCTGTTCGTTCCGAATCGAGCCATTAGGTCCACCAGTCTTCGATTCAGCATCATAAGTTCCAGCGTCATGCCACCTTCTCACAAAAACCAAAACCAACGAACCATCTTTAACAAATCAAATTCACAAAAACATCGCGAGATTTTTCTCAATCAAAACCCTCGTCCGTACTAAAGAGGAAACTTACGCTAATCGGAGCATGATCGGAGCGCAACTCTTCTTAGCGATGAGAGCACGGAGTTCACGGCGAGCCTTATCTATCTCCTTGAGGTAATCATCGTCAACCACCAGTGCTGCCGCCATTGTTACAGCTCCGAGACTGAGCGTGTGGAAGATATAACAAACAAATTGTAGATTTTGTGTTTTTTTTTTTTCTATTTAATTTTAGTTTTTGTTGAAGTTTGAGCCGAAGAGATAAAAAGCACCCAATGGGGAAAATGCGATTAGATGGATCGGGTGTCAGTGATCTTCTGTTCTCGGCAGTATACTAACCTCTGGTGGACCACATTTGGCTTTATTTTAGTATTTAGCGTTTAGACATGCGTGTCATTTTATGTCATCGAAACGGCACACTAGTAGATTTAGGGTATTTGAACGGGAACGCATGTTTGTGTCATCGGTGTTTTTATATCTTTTATATTTATATTTATTTTGGTAATTTTTTTATTTTTTTTCTTAATCGCTTACTCAATCAAATCATAAATCATATGCTATTGTTAACAGCCTAACACACTCATTTTAATGTTTAATACCACTTAGCACCATTATACATGGGCTCATAACCAAATAAACGACTCTTAACAAATCCTAAGTTAAGAGTTGGTCAAGAGCCCATAGATAATGGTGGTCTTAAAACTTTAACTACTTGTTTCTCTAAACTCATGTAAGCTTAAACCAATAAAGTCTTTATGACCAACTTAGGTTTAATTTTTATATTTATTACTATATTATAATTAAGTACTCTCTTCTATACTTTTTTAAATGATGTTTAAAGTTGTTACACTAAAAAAAACACATATAATTTATACATTTTCCATTAAAACATCATTAATTAAAATGAAATCAACTAACAGAAAATATGATGTAATATATGATTGATTAAAAAATATTACTAAACATTTAAATTTTTGCTTAAAAAGTTGAAAACATCACTTAAAGTAAAACAAATTATTTTGACTTAAAACGGAGGAAGTATTTATTTGTTAGTGATTAATCAAATTTGATGTGTATTAATAATCGTCTTCATCATCATCCGTAGTTATATTATTGTCAATTTCTTCATCGCCATATGCCTCAGTGTTGCTTCCATAGGTTCTATCCGTCAAGATCTGAACACCACATTCAAAAATGTCAAAGTCTTGGTATTTGCTGTTGAATTTGAACGTTATCTCTTTGCTAACTTCTAGCCATATGTATTCGTCAAAAGAGTCAGAGTGAAAAATAAACAGATGTTTAGTTTGGCTTCTGGAGATACCACAAGCAAGATCCTCTACGGGGTACAAGTATCCTTTGCGCACTCGGCGACATAAAACTCGGGGATCATCACACCATTCTTCATTTTGCTGGTGAAGGCAAATAACAAGGCAAATCTTAAAACTTGAGAAAGCAGAAAGAGGAAAGGTCAGCTTATTCCCAATGGCTCTATGTTCGAACTCTGTAGGCAGTTTGCTTCCAGGTAAGCATGACGACCCATATCCGAAAGATTGTTGTTCGATAATTGCTCTTCGTGCTTGTTGGTCCAATTTGAAGCAGTTGGTGAAATCGAGGTGCGCATTTTCAGTGTCCAAAGAGCAAAATATGGTCTCAAGTGATTCACAATCTTGTGCTAAAAGGTACCTGAGTGAACGAGGGAGTTCTGGCAATAATGTGAGTTTTCTGCAGCCATAAAGTCTAAGTTCTGCTAACTTTCGAAGACCTTTGAGGCAGCAAGAAATACTTTCAAAAGCAGTATTGCTCAAGCACAGAAAAGTTATATTCAAGGGGAGTTGAGGTAGTGTCTTGAGTTGTTCATTGCCATGGACATTGAAAAACTCAAGTTGAGACCAAAGCGTAACTGATGTAGGCACATCTTTCACTGATGTCTCCGATATATCGAAAATCTTGATGTTCCTATATATGGAAAATTTCGCAGCCGTGACCATCCATTCATGTGGAGGGATTCAAGAGATTCCAAGTTCCACTTCGTTGGAATGACTTCCAGGTTTATGCAATAACTCATCCCCAAGTTCTTTAGTTTATGAAGATTCGAGAAAGAAGGTGGAAGCTCTACTAAACTCTTGCAAATTGATAGTTCCAACGTCTCAAGATTTGTAGCCTTTGAAAGATCCGGGAGTTCCTTTAAATCTACCGAGCCATGCAAATCCATCTTCTTGAGATTTGCAATTGGCTAAAAGGTAAAAAAAAAACCACACAAAACACAAAGAAGAACATCACATAACACGAAGAGATAGTATGTACATAATTACTCATGTATATTTTCTTAGTAAGTTAATATTTTCACTAACTTGGATACCATCCCACAGCTTCTCGAGCTTGCTATACTTCATATCAAGTTCGACAAGATATTCAGGATAAAATCTACTAGGGAGACTCTTGCTTGGATATGCCTCCCAATGTAGTAACCTTAGACTACGCGGAAACTCCATCTCGTTAGGTATGTGCACTTTATCATCATTCCCATCAACTCTGCTTTTGTAGATACGGAGGAACCGAAGATTCCGCATTCTCTTAAAAGCTCTATCACTTATACACACTTCGATGATTCCTGTTGTATCAAATGAAATGCCGGACACATCCCCAGTGCCCTAAACCAAATATCAAATAAAAATGATATTATTAGTAAACTAGTAAAATTATTTTAAATTACAAGGAGCAAAGGAATAACACAAATACAAGAAAGAAGAACTTACTGTATCATTTTCAAAGACATCACAAATCTTTTGTGAATCAATTAAAATGTGACGCTTCCATGGTTCCTGTCTATGAATTGCTTGTCTACCCACTTGTTGTAGTAACTAGGTAATGTCCCGCGCATATGCGCGGGTTGTTGTATATTTATTCAATTATTTTAATTTATTTATTATTTATAAAAATAGATTAAATAAATTTTAATGCTTATGACATTTTTACATGTTATTTATTTAAATCATACAATAGAAGCATACATCCATATCTTTTGAATTTATTCGTTAATTAATTGTTCAATTAATCAGTTTTGATAGTAATTTTCTTTAGTACTTTTCAGTATTTTTTTATAAAACAATAACATTGTTAATGATAAAAATAGAAATGATATTGGGAGAATTTAAAAAATACCCCTTTAAAAATACCACTTTTTAAATTTACCCCATTTTCAAACTTTATCAAAACAACCACTAAAAATGTTGAAATTTATCCAAGTATGTGTGTAAACTTATAAATATACACAAAATTACCTTTATTTGTGTGTAAAATTTTATTTATTTCAATGTCTTACAAATTGGTTTGAATATAACAAAAAAAATATTTTGTTAAAATAATTACATACTTTAAAAATAAAATAAATATACATGAATATGTGAGAAAGAAAAAAACATATAAAGTAAAACAATGAAAATGGTTTATTTAGCTTGATTTTCTTATGGTGCGATGGTCAGAAATCAATATTTTTGAATCCCATCGATAAAGTAATTTTCTTATAGCCATAAAATATTATTATACATATGTATTATACATTTAATAGCATAAAAACAATGAAAAAAATGAAGAAGAAATATAATTGAAAAGAAAAGTTTTAACCATAATCAAGCTCTTACAATGATATCTTAATTGAGCTTTCAACCCATGCAAGAACGTTAAAAATTAAACGAAGAAAATATTGAGAATATCATATATGGTGGAGGAGGATGTAAAAATGAGTATTTATAGGATAAAATATGATGTAAGTTACAATTCTAAAATAATTAAATCAGAGGAGTTATAATTATATTTTATAGTGTGTTAATTGAAGTTAAATGGAGGAAACAAATAGTCAATTGAAAGGTTATATTATTTAAGTTACAATTTAATAGTAAAGTGTGGATTTCAAGTATGAATTGAAGTATATGACTAAATGTGTTAGATATTTGGTTTAATTAAAAA